CAGCTGGTCTACTTGCTCCTGCAGCTTGCTCCTTTCTAACTGCAGCCGGTTGGTCAGCAGTGCTCCGAAAAGCCCTTTCTCGTCGCCCGTCGCCGCATCCACGAGCTCATCACCTGACCTCACTGGCCTGTTGGTCCCCAACTTTGTCTCCTCTTTGAGGGGCAAAGCATCAGTAGCGCAGGGCTTGGTTGGCTCGCACAGCCGACTTGCCGCGCTGGCGATATGTGTCCACACAACGGCCATGGGCATCGTCGCAAGAATGGAGCCAGACAGTTTTGAAGCTCCGGAAATCTCGGGAGGTTTTAGACACCTTGTGGGTCAGGGCCTCAGAATAGGGCCCGGGGATGTTGAAACAGGTACACGCAAAATCTAAGGGCCTGCAAGTTATAGAACTCCGGCTATGGCCTCGGAGCCGAGATGTGATGTTCAGAGCTCTACGACATGTCTTTCCGACAGTTGTTCGCTGCACACTTCCGAAGCTGCCACAGGGCTGCAGTGAGATCCAACCCTCATCAAGCCTCTCTCCAAGAGCCCTTCCTGCCTTCTTGCAGCAGAATTGGTAGCGGTGACAGCTGCTTGTCACACTTGTAGCTCAAGGCCTGCAGTGTTCTGGGCTCAAAGCTTCGAGTTCACTTAGACACGGACCCCACAACGATCTCGGGAAGGACAGCATCGCGGATCTCGGTCACCCTGAAGGTCGAGCCGCCCCAGATGTGATGAAATACATCGTCGTGGCTGCTTCGCCAGAAGTGATGAGTTCCTGGCACAGGAGCTGGTCGAGATACTCCGATGGTTGCCGATATGGCCAAATCTGTAGCGCTCCGGCCTGGTTCGGCGGCAGTGACCTTCCTTTCAGACCCACAGAGTAGAGCTTGCGGACTTGGGGCTCGAAACCTCATTCACACAGGCCACAGCATGCCACAGCCTTCTGCTTTTATTAAACGTTGAACCTAGATCCGAACGCTTCGACACCGTCAACCGGCGATATTGCTGGTCATGATGCAAGAGCTGCAGACAGCAAAGAAGGGATGCATGGCAAACGTGGGAGAGTAGACCTGTCAGTGGCGCTTGCACTGCAGCTTTTTGCAAGCGCACCAGGGGACACAGCTCGCATCAGACCTCGGAGTTGAGGTCTTGCCGCAGACTGAGAGGAAGCATCGACAGCACCCTGATGTCCTCCTCGTGCACCTGAGACTTTGCAGGCTTCCGTGCGGCCTGGTTCTCAGACAAAGCTCCAACACAGTTCAACAGCCACCACGACACCTAAAGGACCTTCAGGAGTCGGTAGCCAAACCTCACAAGATCCCACTTCCCAAAGAACAAGATCTGTCATACAGGCGAGGCACACGCCGCTTGTTCCTGTTCATGGCAGAGTTCACACTCTGTAGAACCCGCGCAAGTAGCCCTCCAGACACATTGCCTGGGTTGGAAGTCTCATCTGAGATTTGTTTACACGCGCAGCCGCAGCCAAGTAATACTTGTCAGTCAGGCGGCACTGGGTCAAATATCTGCGAAGCAACGAGAACTGGTCGTTCCTGTCCTGTGCAATGCTCGTCGTCTGCATGCACACAGGAGGCATGAGACAGGAATCTCGATCAACATTGAGGCTTGGGACATAAATCAAGCGCAAGTCCAGCTTCCCACGGAAGCACGCGAGCTGGAAATCCCACAGGCTGACATGCTCAGGAACTGACGTTAGACTCCATTTGGAAAAAGTAGCACGTCACCATACGGCGATCCGTTTGCGGAAGTCTATCTCACAGAGTCTAAACCTGGTGCATACCAAGCTCCTTGTTCAGAGTCCGAAGCTGAGTCATGGCGTTCGTCATGGCAGAGATGAAAGAAGAGAAAATCACCTGCACGAGCAGATCAAGCTGCGTGCAGCCGGCTTGGCAGCGAGCTGTGGCGAATCTTGTTCAGAATTGCTGCTTAGAGATTAGACGAAATCATAAACGCTACGTGTCTATGTGGCATTGAACTCATTTCTTAACTAAGGCCTATAACAACACACTTCGGGTCTTCAACTGCATCCAACTGCCCTACTTGTTCTGGATGGAGAGGAACTATGGACACCGTTTTATCCTGCTGCCTGACCTGCTGCCTTTGGGGCAAGAGGCCATTGCAGAAACGATGACGCACACGCAGAAGATCCGCTCCGTGGCATTGGTGGGGTAGACTTCCATCGATGCCGGCGTAAACTGCGTCAAGCTCCAATGCAAACAAGTAGAGTACCTGCAGCTGGGAGCTGGGCCAGAGTCTGACCCATCCTAGCATTTTTCAGGCTGGAGAGGTGAGAGCAACTATGCCTCCGAATCACAAACTCGCTTGAGCAAGAACCCAAGGCTGCTCAACTAAGCCGAGGTGCTGATAAGGAATGCTTTTGGAAATGATGGCCTTGGAGGTTTCTGCATACTGCGAGCCTGCAGGGCACTCTATGAAAAAAACAAAGCACTGCTGGCAGATCCCGTTCTGCGTGCGATCACGGAGCATTGTCATAGAACCACGTGTCTACGCCGTCGGGATCTTGTCTCCCAATCCAAAACCACACGCACCTGGACTAGGACATGATCATCCGCAAGCCTCTGAATTCGCTTCGGGGGGGGGGGGGGGGTCCCCGGGCTGCATGCATCTTGTTTGTCAGATCTCAAACTTAGGGGTATACTGGGAAACCGACATAAACCGACCAAAGCTCGAATAGATCCATCAACGAGGCATGTGTAACACAAGCAGGCATGTACTGCAGTACCACAATACATTTTGCGCCGCGCTGTTCTGAAGGTCCAGTCTCTCGGAGCTGGGATCCGAGACCGACTCAGGCTGATGTCACCTGCCGAGGCACGCGATGAAGTGGTTCACGCAGAGGATCAGACCAAGAAGCTTCACGATTCCGACCTCGCCGGGATGGGCCAAGGGTCGCAGGGCCAGCATGGACACAGAAGAAGCAGGCTCGTGCAGAGCGAGACACTATGATGATACAGTGCTCAGAGTGGATCGTATCCAGCAGCTCCTGTGAGGAACCGATCCACGTGGCTTTGCAAAACACTGGGAAAGCCACCGAAACCCCGGAGCGCTGACGGTGTCCTGAAGCATCCCACCACCTTTCAACACACGGATGAGGCGAAAGACGCGGAGGATGCGCACTCCTCGAAGAACGTTTGAGGTGAGGCGCCGAGGAAGCAAAATGTGTCGGCTTCAAACACATCCTCAGTAGCAAAGAAAGCTCAAGCTGTCCTTTGCCGAGTCGGAGGGCGCTGATTCCTGCATATACCACACGAGAAAAGCAACACATCTACTTATGACACGGCTGGATGCGCAGCGCTGACTTCAACGCAATCGGAAACGGATCGGCGCATGTGCAATGCCTGGCAGAAGAACGAACCCCTTCGCAACTTGTGCCGATTAATCGGCAGCCGAGTCCATCATGCTGCTGCCAGTTCCCATTGTTCCCACCGCTTCCGTGCATCGTAGGGTCTTCTGTTTAGCCCAATGTACTCTTTCGAAACCCCGCTTCAGCTTTGAAAAGGGCAGAAGATGCTTCATGACTGCATGCCGGTGAGGCTAGAGAGGCGATCGAGGTATGGCAGAATAAACACCAGCTTGAAGAGAAAAGGTCAAGACCTATGTACTGAACGCCACGACGACGGCCCTGAAGATGGCGAATGACGATGCGGAAGCATGATGATGATGATGATGATTGATGATGATTGATGATGATGATGATGATGTGATGATGATGATGATGTGATGATGATGATTGATGATGATGATGATGATGATGATTGCTGGTGCTGGTGCGGCTGGTGGTGCTGGTGGTGCTGGTGGTGCTGGTGGTGCTGGTGGTGCTGATGCTGCTGGTGCTGCTGCTGGTGCTGCTGGTGCTGAACACGGTGAAGTGATGACGCAAACGGCCACCACTAAATGCCCGCCGAGCCTGCTGGGAAATGTGACAGGGCACTAGTGGGCATAAAGCCTCCTTGCAAACCTTGCCCCTGAGATCCGCTAATCTCAAGAATGCACGAGAGACCACATCGCGAAAGGTCCTCCAACGTTGCGAGTGTTGGTGACCTGAGGACCAAGCCAAGCATAACATGACACGAGCTTACGGCGTTGGGGAAACCGAAGTCTGGCCGAAGGTTCGCCGTCGCCGCAGCAACAATACAGCCGAAACCAACACACAGGTTTCGCCTGAAGCCTAAGGCCTAAGAAACTTCCGAAGCATCCTCACAGACTTAAGACTCCGTCTCGGAGAAGTTCGCTGCAGCTAGCTAACGCAAGCTCATGGGAAAAGAGCAAGCGGCCATCTCGTAGACATTCAGGGCCCAGTCCACTGAGACGACGAGGATATCGAACCAGAACCAGCCGCGGATGTAGATGCCTCCCAAAGTTTCACGAAGTTTTACTGCATAGGCTGCTACACTTCAGAAAGTAACAATAGAAGCGGGCTTTGGGGCATCACATACATACATACATACATACATACATACATACATATATACATGTATGTGTATATATATATGTATATATAGATATATATATATATATGTATTATGTGTGTATATCATAGATACATGCATGCATGCATGCATGCATGCATGCATGCATGCATGCATACATACATACAGTCATACATACATACGTACATATACAGCCTGTGTCTGCTTGCATGTGTGCTTGTGTGTGTGTGCGTGTGCGTAAGGACGAAAAGGATGTCAAGCAAAGGGTGTCAAGCAAAGGGCGTCAAACACACCACACAGCTCCCGCTGCGGGACAAGTCTCACAAGCGCCTCAGAGGTCTAAACCCCGAGAGCCCAAACACCAAAACGTCTTGGAACAGCTGGCAGCCTGCAATGGCTCTCACCCGCATCTCAATGATGCCCTTTGTCTGGAGGATCTGGCCTGGGCCAGAGCCAAAGCCAAAAACAAAAGTGTCATAAATGTAGAGAAATTGGCGAGAAGAGAGGGAAAAAAAAAAAACAGTCCGGGATTAGACAAGAAAAGCCTGCAAACCCTGACATGTTCCAACACACTTTTGCCGGGACGAGTTGCCTTCTGCATTTGCAACCTGCTTTTGGGATCTGGGGAGTTGACCCTGTTCGTTCCTTTCGGCTTAGAGTTTGCCATTCCTTTCCTTCCTTCCTCGAGTCTGCCATTCCTTTCCTTCCTTCCTCCTGTGCTTCCTTGCCTTCCTCCGTCCACCCTTCGTTTCCTCATGCTTTCCTTCGGCTGTTCTGCCTCCCAGCTTTCTTCTTGTCTTCCTTTCCTCCCATCGTCCATCACGGAAAGCTCGGCGAAGACAGTTGGGACACGAAACTTGTGTGAAGTTCATGGACAGTGCGAGAAGCATGTCCGTGCTGGATGCCCCGGCTGAGAAGAGCTAAGAGGGTGAAGTCCCTCTGGCGTAAGAGAACAACGAAAACATGACATAAGCATGTTCAAGGCAAGCAGCCAACCAGGAAGGACATTGGAATATCCAGAGCCCAATAGATGCTGGAGCACCACCCCATCGCCTGCCACGGATATCGGATATTCAGTATTCAGGGCTCCGCTGAATTAATAGTACTGTGTACTGCATGTACTGTTAACATCAGGTGTCCAAAAGCCATCTTCCCACCTGGACCAAGTACCAGCAGTCGTACTGCGAACTCTGATTTCTCAACCCGTCTTTCGTTTTGCCGGCCTCTGTGAAGACGTTTCCCGGGGGATCAAAAACCTGCCATGGCCCCATGCGATACTGGAAGCCGTCAGCACAGAAATGCTCAGTCTCTCCCAACTGACTCTTCCCTGTAGCCATCCACAACAAGGAGGCCACCTGCCTGCATGGGAAGCCAGAAGAGATCGTAGATGATGAGGAACAGTCCCAGAACCTGAATACATCGCCATGCTTCCTGGTTTGGTGAGCTTCACGCGGCATGTCCGAACCAGCTTTGCAACATCTGGGCCTGCCTCGAAGAACAAGCGCTTCGGAGAACTGGGATCCAGAACCAACCTCAAGGAAGACTCCAGAAGTGCACTGCCTCGCACAAGCTCGCTCCGTAGTCCGCCCGAGCTCTGGGCTTGTTCAACAAGTGCAGCATGTAGCTCTGGTCGGAGTCATCCTCGAGGGCTCTACGGTTACGTGTTGCGTGCCACTTCGCAGCTTTTGGCGGAGCCTGCATCTGTGGCCTTTGACACCCACAACCACTAAATGGCTCGACGTTTCCACGTAGCTCCTCCAGGCCGCGATCGCCGGGAACACCGTTGGTGACAGTCCTGCTCTGCCAAAGCTCGAGATACAGGAAAAACCTCCGTGGCTTTCCAGAGTGAACCGCTGACAAGCAACTGACCATGCTTCGTCTCACCCTGCAGATGTGCAGCTACTATGTCCACCGCACACATAAGCCTACTGGGGGTAGCAGACAAAGGGAGTTGTCGTGTTGCATGTGTTGCTACAACACACCTCACCACGAGAATGTCTGTGTGTTGCTGGAGTTGCCACGAGGATGTTGAAGGATGCGGGATGACTCAGTGCCACCCGTGAATCGGAAACAATGCCTATGTGCTTGAAGGCCCTCTCCATTGCACCAGAGACATCAGAACTGGGTTGCGTGTAAACTCTCGTCGATGTTCCTGCGAACACAGCCCATGCAACTAACAATGAGGCCCCTACAGTGGCTACTACGGCCTGCACATGGAACGCTGCTCAGCGTTTGGCCAGGTGACGACAGATCCTGCTTCTGGATGGGCACATGTTCCACAAGTCCCTCTCCTTGTAATCTTCGAGGTGGTGGTGGCTGCCTTCCTGCATTACAGCACCGTGCAAGGGCTGGCTACCACTTAGATGAAGTGTAACCCTCGCATGAAGGGTGCTAATCCTCGAGGTCTCGCTCTCCCACATGCAAGTTCAAGTCCCAAGACACTAAGCTCTACTCTGCACCGACCGCACTGCAGGGAAAATGACACCCGAATTCTGAATGCTATAGACTTTTCACGTCTTCTCCCAGAACACATGCCTTCTCCATGCCGCTGCCAGTTTGAGGTCCGGTGGAGGCCTGAGGAGTTCACACCAAGTGAAGCTGAAACCAAGGCCAGAAACCTCACTTGTCACAGATGTTTACAACATGCCTTCCTGGGAAAAGGTTCACGACCAGCCCTGCTTCCTAAGTCTAGAGGCGCAGGGGCAGGCATTCACATCAAGGGCATTTCCCACCCCTCGCTCAAAAACCGGCAGGGGGCCAGGCTCAATCACATCTAACTCATTAAGCCGTCGAATTGGCCAACATGTCAGCGCGAATCATTTGTGAAAACAGTCTGAAGAACATAGCACCAAACAAACGCAAATGCGCAGCATTGCGCAGCATCTGAGCCGTGCTTGCAAAGGATGTGAGCACGAAGAAGAGGGCAGCAACAACGCAACAAAACAAACTAGAAACGCAAAAACTTGTAAGCGAACCGACATCGGCTCATGTCTTCTTGATACGGCTCGTTGACTTCACTTTGCCCCTCGGGCAGTTTCTATTCCTGGAGATATCGCAAAGGCGCGTCGATCCCGGGAGCTCGGAGAGACGCGAATGGCGGCGGGACCCGGGAGGCTCCTCGGAGCGAGGGTTTAAAAGTTTAGGGTCCTGGGCGGTCCTGGGTGCAGGGTTTATGGGTAACTGGCCCTCCGGACGCAAGGGTCCACCAGACTTCGCTTCGTAATGACTTGCTGGTAATTCTCTGTCACTGGAGTGACTGTCGGGATCGACCACACCCAAGTCGGACTCAGCTCACAATCTGATCGGAAGCACCGGAGTCATGCAACGTGACTTTTAGAATCGCAAGGCTTCGAAACGATATTCATGCTCCGGATATGACAGGATACCAAGACCGCTGGGCTGAAGCTGGCAGCTCCCAAAATGTCTGAGATATGCATCGAAAATGAATGCGTCTACATTCCCCCGGCGAAAAGCATGTGTGCATTCCCTTGAAGATGAGAGGCACAACCAAACATGAGCAAGTCAAACCTTAGGCTACGAGTCTCGTGGATCATTCTCGCTTTTTCAATGGCTCAACACCGGTATTTGCCGAAGTCCCCCAAGCAGACAAGGCACGTCGCAGGGCAGCACACCCTGGAAGTTAGCGCTGCGGAAAGAGCCCTTTGCGCTGGTGGCTGCTTCTGGCACCAGACCTCTACAGATGTGGTCATGCAAAGCCTTTTGTTGTTGAGGCCTTGCTGGAAGTTCCACGCATCTGATGCCCTAATCCAGGAATGGATATTGTGTCGGCTGCTCCAGGCCTTCCGAAGCGTCGACGGAGCCGGGAAGCTTCTTATGCAGCTGCACATCATCGCCTTGGCCAGGAGTCGCATGCTCGGCAGAATGAATTATCGAGTACGAACAAGAGTGCCCCATGAATTGGGGAACCCTCAGGAGAGGCCCCATGAATGTGTGCTCGTACTACTAACTCCAGGTCCAAACTGGAGCCGGTACACCGCACTATGCAGGATGGAGATGCGCTTATGATGCCCAGATTCAGACCCCCGCCTGTGACTTCGAGTTTCGGTGGCCGCGAGGCAGGTGTAGGTGGCAGCAGCGACGCCGAGTCTTGCCGTTGAATAACTTAGCAGGCAAGCACAGGTGAAATCGAAATTGGTCAAGCTTCTGATTTCTGCAAACCAAACAGCTTTCATCGCTTAGCATTCGCTTCTCAGACAGGTAGCTTCAGATTGTACACTACATTTCAAGCTGTAGACTCTAGATCCTGCCCGGAGAGTGGCATTCTTCCAAGGTGCATCGCTTGGACCGTTCCTGCTCCCGACGAAGCGCCTCGGATGCCTGTCGCAAAGCATGCCATGGACCGGACAGCGAGCAGAGAAATGTAGGCTCGGAGTTGACCGGCCACAGGCTTGAGACTGATGTCAATTCTACAAGCAGATCTCACATAACCCTGGCAAGCATCCTTTACCGGATAAAGTCTGCAGAGTGGGCCGACTTCTCACACGCTCCATCTTGGGGCAAGGGGATCTGAGAGCTCTCCATCAGCAACTGTCCACACGATCGTGCCATCTCTCATACAGGCAATCGTCACCTTAACAGGACGAGCTCTTCCTAGAGCCTGCCGTTTCGCATGAGGAGATCCGTTCTGAACCCAAACTCCGCTAGTGCTTCTAAGAGCCTGCCTCTTCCAGGAGTTGTCTGACCGCGGTAAGCTCTGCAGTGTGGACGTCCGCTGCCTCGTCAAGGCCAAGGCGGTCTGAGTAGCTCTTTACGTCGGGTTTTGCTTAGGAAGGTTGCAAGGGTACACAGAAATCGGTGACAAGACTTGTGGTTGCGGCCGGAGCGGCTTTTTGGAGCAAGTCAAGGACGCTCAGGCTGCCGTCCTGCACCCCAAGTGCATGACCCTTGCATCTTCGTTCCCTTACGCAGAAACAGATGCACGCTTCCGCCAATTGAAACCTGAGCACGTCAGATGCGCCTCCCTTAGAAATGCAAACTACATATTCACATGATACTTCTGTACTTCCGCACTTCCGCATCCGTCCCGAGCCTCGGAGTTGAGCGTCAATGCCGACACCATGGCGGAAACAGCTCACCCGACAGGAGCCAAGCACAAAGCAACAGCAGCTACAGAGATTCCACAAATGTCGTTGTGGCACATGCTTCTGGCTAAGCGGAACCAGCAACTCTAGTCTGGCGTCACGAAGTATTGATCTGCCAGAGTAGTCTGGTCTCGTCAGCCTCCCTCTCAAGATATCGAGCCCGTGAGACCCCTTCACATCGTCAAGTGCTGTGAGCCGGGTCGGCAACGACCGCCATGCAGTGAACGAACTACAGCCTCTACACTTTAGTATAACATGCTCAGGTAGTTTGTCGATCTTGCAGACAACGATGTCAGACTCCTCGCACCGTGCCGCGGAGTTGGGCTTAGGGGCGAGGCGTCGGAGGCTGTTTCAGAAGACGCGCTCTTTTTTTCTGTCGTCGTTTCTGCATCTAAAATATCTAAAATATTCACAGAGGAGCCTCCCACATGCTTACAATCTAGCTTAGCCGGCATGTGCAATCGAACAGGATCTCTTCCGAAGCTGTGGCCACGGCGGAGGTGTGGGGTCTGGCGGCAGCAGCTCCGTCGTCTTCGCACCACGCAGCTGCCGGAGCCTCCGGACGCTCTCCTGGCCGGCGGCTGCCTGCAAAAAGACAAGAACCCCCAGTCGGTGCCCTTCATAGTGAGGGCTTAGGGCTTAGGGTTGAGGGCTTAGGGCTTAGGGTTGCAGGAAGAAGAACGCAGACGAACAAATACCGCTCCTACGGGCCTTCGCGAAGTTGTCGACGTGCATGGTAGCACATCGACTAAATCCCTTTCTTCCGTGGTCATTCTGCGCATAGAACAAGCTCCTGCAGCCAAAGCTGTAGCAATGAATGTACGGCTATTTGCAGGCGCAAAGACATGCCAAACTGCCCTCGATATGCAGCGTTTGCTCTCTTGGAAGATTGGACATTAAGTCGCAGTCGCAGTTTGCCTGCGTCTAAGACGGGTAGACCGTTTCCAAGTTCAGGATAACAATAACAAGGAGCTGTTCAATGCAACGAGAAGGAAGCTCGCTCGTCCCGGAACTTGTAGCCAGTGCGCATTCAGACTGGCATCTGATCTTCAATACACTTCATGTACTCTACCGGATGCCAGCAACCAATGCTGCATGAAGGTAGAAGAGGCACAAGCACATTCTGAGATTGTGAGTGCTGGGATCTATTCGCGGCGATTTCACTGAATTGGTATGCCAGAGGAGATCCACGAGCGAACAAAGGAAGCCAACATAAAAATATCGAATGTCAATCAAAAGACAGTACGCTGAGGCGATGGCTTGAGTTGGTCATCGTGCATGAGGATGCCAATTTCCTCGATGCCAGCTTGGCGGCATCACTTACTACACCCGTGTACACGACAGACTCACAGGTTTGAACTCATGTGCAGAAGCGTTCAAGAAGCAACAAGACGGTTTCAAGATCTATCTTGCTTAGAGTGCTTCCGAGAACCTGAAAAATCCTCGCAGAAGTACGAGCCCAAGCAAACATCTGACAGTGATGCAGTTGGCTGCGACCCAACACTTGGTTCCCAACTGTGCAAGGCAGAAAAAAAGCCCTCAACCAGCTGCACAGCTACCCACACTCCAACGCAGCCCGGACACATTCGTCATCAGCTTTAGCAAGCTGTTCTTGCCTCAGGGCAACAAATCGTCGCACATGAATCAACCGCATGGCTCCGGACCTTCGAATCGCTCCAAGTGGTGCCTGCGCTAAGGCCCCGGCTGAACTGCAGGTTCTCGGACATGAAGTGTGCTATCGGAAGCCCATCCTGGCGAATCTCGAAGTTCAACTCTCCCGCTTCGTTCCCGGGCCATACTTTCAAAGCGCGCCTCGTCATCGGACTCAATATCCTTGTCCTTCCCAATCATTGGCACCGTCTGGCAGTGCACAGCTTCTGTAATTTGAACTGCTGTCATCCTTACACAGGGGATTAGAAACAGCAAAACAGGTAGCCATGGAACCAGTCTCTAAGTCGCGAGGAGGTATCTAGAATCTAGAAACGCCACTCAGGATAGTGTGTTACGGGGCCACATGGCCTGGAGCTGCTACAGCGAAAGCGAGCAGGAGACTTTCGGCAGTAGAACACAAGTGCTTCTGAAGCCAAGTCTCAATCCTGAACGTAAAAGCTCGCTCCGGGAAGCAAAGTGCGAGGAAGTTCCGAATGCAAGACAGGACTGCCGAGTAGGATGAAGAGACAGAAAAGGAGGACGGCTACTACGATGACGCGGGAGATTTGATTCATGGCCCATGACCACAGGCCTCTGAGTCGAAGGTCAGCCCCTTGTCCTTCCCCTGCGGGGCACCGCAGCGGCACGAGACAAGCTAGCGTTGCAGCATCAAGTATCCTACTGTCAATAACAAGGCCTCCTAAAAACACCTCCTAAACTTTCCGAAACACCAAACTCGTCTTCCCGCTCAAGCTTCCCCACCTGCAGCAACCTGCAGATGCTAAGGCACAAACTGAAGCCAAGGGCCCCGTGTGATTTGCACATCCCCATCCAGTGCCCCTCAGCTCAGAGAGTCCTTGAGGCCCTAAGGCTTTCGTCAAAGTTTGTACGCCCGAACCCTGTGCGACGGCCGGGTCGCCAACGGAAGAGGGCGAAGAGCCATGTACCAAACAGACAGGACGTAGAGCGAAAGAATGCTGCAGGGTTGTCTTCTGACAAGACGAGATCGTGTGAAACCTTCTCGAGACTGCAAACACGAACTACTGCCAGATACTACACCGACTGCGGAACATGCAATTAAGGCCCGAAGCAAGCGACACAAGATAAGGCCTTGTCTTTGAACGGGGTAAGGCTCGCGAAGATGGCGGCGGTTACAACACAGAGTCCACACCTGAGGGTGCACTCGGGTCATGATTGCAGGCACAGGCAGGCTCGCGGCTGCAGCCCGAGGGCGACTGGTCTTCTCTCATATTGGGCACCGCACGTAAGGCCATAGGGAAGGAAGTGGCCCCTCGTGTAGATGAACCCACCGGCAGCGGGCCTTGGTCTGGTTTCACACATGCACACAAGAAAGAGCTCTCCGATAGTTCCATGGAAATCTGCCCAGGACCCGGAGCGAAGCAGCTGAGCGCACTGGCGACACGGCTCCCGCAGCACCATCTACGAAGGACTTGATGCCCAAGAACATGCCGAGGCGATCCTGCATTGGAAAGCTTCGGGATGCTTGTTGCCTTGAGGCATGGCATGCAGACCCTTCAGAGGTGAAGTCAAGACTTCACGTGCCCCCGCAGTCTTCAGCGAACCCCCTTCCCCCCACACAGCTCCGGTTGCACGTGGTAGTGAACCAACGCCATGTAGCCCAGGCCAGAGATTGACCCGAAGAAGCCAACAGACAGGCCTGCAAAGCAAGCTGAGCCACTAAGTGGCCTGCAGTGTGGATGAGATATGAAACATGGCTCCTTAACTCCTAAGCCTAGCTGAGAGATAAACAACTATTGTCTGCTGAAAGCTCTGTCTACTGCCAGTGAAGTTCAAGCCAGGCCAGCCAACGTGGAAAGCACCGTTTTAGAAGAAGTCGGATGGTTCATTGTGAAGACGCAGCCGCGGGGTCAGTTCAACACTGTACTCGACCTAATGTTGCCGCTCATGAACCCTTCCACCATGCCTGGTGTGCTGGTGTGCGGAAGCACTTAGAAAACAACAGCTCTGCTCAAGATTTACCAGCGAGCATTCCAGGACATGCCCGAAACGTCAGGACTCTGTCTTGCCGATGTTGGCTGAGTGGAGTTGTACGATCTTTGATGCCCGTAATCTTGAGCTGGGCAGGGACGGTCGGGGAGGGGTGGGAAGCTTTGCCGAGCATCCGGCTGAAAGATGTACACTTGAAACCCAAGATCCGACATGATTCGACGTTCATCCCAGCAAAATCCCCGCAAAAAGTGCTATCAGACAAGACATGTGCTTTACAGACATTGCAGCAGCACACGAACCGCGGCGGACCCGTATCCTCTAGCCACGTTTCTTCTCCATTGTCCTTTCTACCCCTCTTCCCGTTGCCATTGCACCACAGTATGTTCCTGTCACCTCCTTGCACACCCCTACCCCCTAACACCCTAAACCCCCACGCTCTAAACCCCAGACCCTAGAACTCGCCCCTAAACCCCAAACAAAGATCACCCAAGCCCTAAATCCCAAATCCTGAACCCTCAGAATCATGAAAGGCCCTTTAAGGCCGGAGGCGACTACTTAGCTGCAGGCCTCGCTTCCTAAGCCCCATTCCGGGTTTGGGGTCTAGTGGATGCAGCGCTTAAGGCTCTGGGTTTAGGCTTGGGGTTAGAGCTCAGTGATGAGAGTTTACGAACCCTCTTTGCGTCCCTGTTGCAAGTGGGTCAAGCCTTGCATCCCTATAGGTCACCAAACGCGCAGCATGGGCAAGCCTGCCGCAGCTGCCGGCACCCAGCGGATGCCCACTCCCAGGATCAGGAAAAGGGTGGTAAACCCAACGCCAATGCAGCCTGGCACCGGATGAATCCACTTTCTTGCCGCCCGGCGCCTCACTGCTACGTGCTGCACGTAGACCACACGCGCCACAGGCCCGAGTCTTTTCAATTAAAGGGCTGGCAACATGAGCAGAGCCGAAGCCTGCATGGATTGTTCCTCGAAAGCCTATGCTGCAGTGCACTGAGGTAACAGGATGTGTGAATTGGACGGGGCCCCAAACCCCAGCAGAAATTCCGCATCCTTGCACCCTCGCGCCTAGCATGCAGCCTCGCGTCTCGCCCACGTATTCGAGGAGTGTCTCAGTGCCGAATACTAGTACATGCAAGGATGAGTCAACTGTGCTGCTGGCCATAGCAGTCACTGCAGCCTGGCAGGTTGAATTCATGCTTGGTACGTTCTTTGCCGTGCGAGTATTTCTGGAAGGCATAGGTAGGCCCTGTCAGCTGACCGAGGACGTTGCAGGCAGCAGAGGTGTTAGGACCTTCGCGGCGACAGTCTGGTTGAAGCTTTGTTCCGAGCACGAATGACTAGTGCTAGATCACTGGCACTCGACATGTCGCGTTCTAGAAAGTGCTTCCAGGGTCAGGATAAGACAGGGTACAAAGAAAAACAACTTGCCATGTCTGTCTCGTATGGCAGAAGGAAAACACACCCCGGTGGCGGGATTAGATTTCAAGCAAGAATCTAGCCGGCTGCTGAAACATCCACAGCGGTGCATTCACAAGAGGCTAGCGCCGCCGGGCTCGCGGCCAGTGCCGAGATACTGGTCACAAGCAAAAGATCAGACATATCACCTTTCACAGGCTTCTTTCACGGCGTCCACGTGGAGTTTTCGGGGGTGTCTTTTGGAGTGTTGGCGGGCTGCAGTTTGCACTGTGCAACATTAGGTGAGGCTGTCGGCCTGGAATCCGGTAAGGCCGGCACTCTGAGTGAAGCCGAAGTAATCCTTAAAGAAGACGACCTGCGCTGCGCGAACTGGCGGAGCCTAGAAAAGAAGCTCCGAGTCTCAAAGTCTCAGAGCCTCGGGACCCTCCGTGATGCCAAGGCTGGCGGTGAAGACAAAGGAGCCCAGCAACCTCAGAGCTCCAACGATGATCCGCAGATCCAAAGAGCCGAGACCCAAGACAGCAAGCTCCGGGGCTCCCTGCAGGATGCTGGTCTCTCTGCCCGTCAGCAGACTGCGGGGCCAGGCTTTTCGGGCTTCCAACTCTCCGAAAGCCCTTCTGCGATTCTTCGGCAACGCGTCAAGTCCATGAGAAGGGATATTTTGATCACCCCGAAGATGTCCCACCTCCACCAGCGCGAAGCTGCCTTGCTTCCTGGCATATTGACAGAGGGGCGTGCGGGTTAGTTCGCGTAGATTTCCACACGTTCAATGCTTTGGCCTGCGTACATCTTTGGCGAGAATGCGGTTGGGGAGACGGCCCTGACGAGATGGAAGTTTGCCGATCCCGGCGTAGGGCTGTTTGCTGCTGGCCTCGTCGGCGAGTTCGAAGGTGAGCCAGCCTCCCCAGAGCGACACAGGTCAAGCCACTCGATTTGGGTTGCTGCGAAGTCCGTTTCCAGGATGTCACTTGACTGTGGGGTCTCTGCACTTAAATGAGCTTCACATCCAAGTCTTGACGCCAGCTCCGCGGCATGCTCTCCGCATGTCGAGATTTTTTGGATGCCCAGGCACTTGGCACGTCCTGAGTGGATTCAACGAAAACCTCCGCAGCCGGTGGTCCGGTTCTGTATCTACAACAAGCAAGCCCATCAACAGCATCTGGTCCAGGAAGATGTCTAGGAAAGATTGAAATCCTCGGTCGCGTCGGGCGAGAGACAGAGAGCTGTTCGGAAATGCACGATATGATGTGGGACTTCAAGATTCAACAGATTCCACATGCACTCCGTCGTTCCCATCCATGAGCCCACATACCTGACATAGTGTATGGTCGTGTTCCCTATACCATGACATGTGACACGTGACTTCTCCAATTGCCCTTTCCCCGCATGCATAGCGCCCGATGCATGCGGAGCGCAGACCTGGTTAGGCACATACGTTTCAAGGAGCTGTACAGTGCCGAATACAAGTTCAATGCTTTCAATGCGTTGACAATTTCAGCGGGCACATATCTTTCGGCAGCTGAGTGTCAAGATTCCAAGTGTGCCTAAAGAGTCAAGATGCTCACAACTGACCGGGCTTTCTCAACGCACTGATCGTCAGCTGATTTGATTGTCGTACCGACGACAACTGTAGACTGTTTGGATGGCACTCATGCTCTTGGTGCTTTGGTGTGTGTGTGTGTGCTGGGAAGTGACTTGATCTGATAATGTACGCTCTGAGGATAGTTTCGCATAATTTGCACACATGGATCCAATGAGTTAAGTTGTCCGATAATCGATCCTAGTCAAAGTACCCAGCCGATACATAGTACAAATGCGAGAAACTGGAAAACCGCTGTGCTCATTGCACTGCACTGAATCTTCCGTCATTGCTGCCAGGCCGCATACCAATCTGCAGCCTTTGTCCGTAGCATTCTGAAACACAACCACTGAGGCGCAAAAGGCCCTCAGACACCTTCAGTGCAAACCGCAGCTTCAGCCTATGCTACTGACCGCTGTGCCACGGCAGAGCACCTATCAGACTGCAGAATGGAGTCGCATTTCTAAACTAATGATACTATGCTGATGCAAGCCTCACCAGAATCGAATGCCTGGCCTCGCTTGCCGCTGACGGCTTCCAGTCGCTCTGACCGGCCGTAGGGCCCAAAAGAGTCCTCCCAAAGAGCCCTGCCCTGAGAATTCAGACTAAAGAGCCCCCGCTCAGCTCAGCTCAGGTCCTTCGGTGCACCGAGCGACGCCGTGCTGACAAGCCTCTTGTCCTCTTCCTGGGGAGTTGGCTGGGCTTCGCGCAAGACGTGACGCTCCGTACGAGGATGCGCGAAGCGCGAGACCTACTCGCCTTTCCGAAGCCCGAAGAAAAGACTACGCGTCCTTGGTGAACTCCCGGCGGCCCTTCTTCGGCCCAGGGGAAGCGCCGGACTTGCCAGCGGAGGCCTGAACGGGTCCAGTAACTACACACTCATAGCAGCATCCCTACGATCGGCACACCCCATGCCATCTGCGACCGCAGCCTGGACCCACCGGACACTGTAGAGAACCGGCTCCTGGCAGATCTCCAGTAAAGAGAAAGCTGAGGGCCGAGGGCTCAGAGGGGTTTCTCAGACGGAGCTGATACTCTCAATTTCGATAACAATGTAATGTATACTACGTAGCATACTAATGTAGAATAGATATATACTCTCAATATCTATAGTACATTTTATACTACTATAATGTATACTCATGTTTAATAGATACTATGCCTACTCTACTGCTCAGTGCGGGAACTGTGCCGCAGGCCTTCTCGGGGGCTCCCAGTGCCAGGCCGCCAGGGCCCTTGCTGCCGGCTTCGGCCTTTGGTGGTGGCTTTCCGCCACCTGGAAAGACGCTTCCAGCGCGGCTTCTCATCCATTCAGCTGACAAGTTCCATGCCCTTTTGGAGCTGACCTAGAATTTAGAACCTGTGCAAATCTAGGTCCTTGCCTGCAGATCTGCTCTCGAAGGCGTCGAAGAATGCTAAGGTCACCTGACAATATTCATCCATCGCAAGAGAGCAACATCCGGACAAGGACAATAAGTGCATTCTGGGTCCCACCTTTCCCTCCTTGGAGGAGTCCATCTTGATCAGCTCGATGTCTGAGATGTTCGAGATTTGCCGTGGTTTCCTGCTTGCGAAACAATAACAGTAACAGCTCACAGAGTCATGAACGCCAGAGGCAGTGCTGATTCTCACCCAGTCCCCTCGCCTGGGAGCCCTTTCGCGCTTCGGGCCAGCCCCTTTGGCCACAGTAGGGTCAGTGCGGCGCATGGCAAAGCCCCGGAAGTCGTCCAGGTTCTGCCGGCCTCCCGGAAGCAACAGTCCAAGAAAAACAGGGTCGACCTCTTTCATGGATCCCGCCGTGCCTTTTTCATAGCCCTCTACGTGGTCGAGGAAGTCCTCAATGGAGTCCTCACCCTGACAGAAGCTATGGCATCACTACCGAGACCTTCGTCCAATTCCAGAAGATCGAAGGTCGGCCTGGAAGTCGCCGGCGGACTTGAAGAGGTCTCTCGACTCCTGCACTTCAGGCTTCTGCGGCCTTCTGCCTTGGGAGTTCTTCTTTCGCATCTCTCCCTGTCATGTTACGGGCCTTCGCGCAGCGCTTCGCCTCCTCGAAGTCTTGTCGGCCGAGGTGTGCTCCGGATTGGAGCATCATGGAGCCAGCCTGGAGGCTGCAGACGCCCGTGGCGAGACTCGCCTGCCTCATCCTGTGGCCGGCCTCACCAGCAGTGTCACGAAGGGCTCTGAAAGCCGTCTCGGAATCCTGGCGCAGCGTCCTATCTGAAAAACGTCCGCTTCTGCTCTCAACCAATTCGGGCCTGTGCCGTCTTGAGGGCATCATCGAAGTTTTTGGTCATAAGGTTGGCATTTGCCAAGATGTGAAGGCTGATGGCTGTCTGGGTCTTTTCCCCGAGCTCCTGCGAATGATCTCACATGCCTGATCGGACCAGAGGCCAGTAAGACCTCTCTGCACTGGCCGCTAGCCTGACTTGCAGGGCTCCTGGTAGAGCTGAACTGCCTCCTGTGCTGCACGGAGGGCCTCCTGACCAAGTGAGATGGCATATGTCATATGTCTCCATGCCCTGTTGGATTCAGTTGTCATATTTTCTGCTAAGGCTGGATTAGAGAGTCGACACTAGCATCTTCACCAGATCGTCGCATGCCCATGGGCATAAGCATACAAACTGGCGAGCAATTCCTCCCACGCTGTCAGTGCCGTGCCTGCGGATTGCCCTGACCGATGGATGCGAGTGCGAAGTGCACATCGGACACCAGCTGAGCGGCCTCACCACGACACCGATGGATGCCAAGGCCGACAATGGCACAGTGGCTGTGGCACAGGTGCCAAAGCATAATTGCGGGATGCGCCTCGGCTCGGCCCTTCTTGTCTCCCAGCTTCCTGCTCAGAGCTGCAAAGGACAACTCATCAAAGCTGTGGCATTTAGCATTGCTGCAGACTGGCATTTGGCCTCCGGTGTGCTGGAATCCAAAGTTTCCCGGATCCGCCGTTTGATATGAGCGGGGTTAGGCATCGAATCATCAAGCCGGTTTCGGGGCGTGCATCGTGAGCACTACGCTTTGTCCTGAATCCCAAAACATAACATCCTGCCATACGGCCATACATAGTTTCGGCAAAAATTAAGGATGAATAAGCACAGCTACAGCAAGATTCAGCGGCCCTACTTGAACGAAAACCCGCGGGCCTGTAGGCTAGGGCACACTCCTCTGCAGCGCGCTGGGCCTGCTGGACATCGCCTGAAAGGCGGCTGTTGTCGCATGGTGCTTCTCTCAAACCCCAGGAAATGCTGAAGCCCTGCTCTGCGTCTTGAGGCAAAGCCGTCTCGAGCCTTTGCCAAGGTGGATCTTGGCAATTCCTAGCCAGGCTTCTCCTTCACCTTTTCGATCACCTGACAGAGCCAGGGGATGCTCGCAGCCTGCTGCCCACATGCGCAACACTTGAGGTGAGGAATCAAATTACCTGCAGCCCACTTTACCTGAAAAGTAGCAGACCCCTTACGAGCCAAGCCTCCGTGCATGCACGGAGCAGCCGGCGCAGGAAAGAGAGAGGCATAAGAATCGTTTGGACCTGAGGACCGCGCCTACGGCCAGGAAGAGCGCAGGGCACTGAACCAGGCAGTTGAGCGCTTCCTGTGGATTGGCTCTTACTGTCACTCTGCCTAAGTCATCTCTGGGAGCTTGAGAGACTTTCTGCATGGCTGATCTACGCCCGAATCAGCACACACCCAACAATAGCAAGTATCACCTGATTGCGTTGCTATTGCGCAGCTTTCGATTCGATTGGACTGCCACTTCTTCCAGCTTCTTCTCCTCCCTGCGACCACAGCCCCTTCGGCCCACTGTGCTGCCCCCCCCAACAGATAGATATCATTGGTCTCCTCGTTTCAATAATTGGCGTTTTACCCGTTTACCCTGCTGCCAGGATGTCTCAAACCCAGAAATAGACTGCCAACGTACCATGCCAGAAAATTGAGCAACTGAACCCTTCGGCCAAAAACTTACTGAGCTGTGTCGACGCCGGATTCGGCTCAAGCTGCGACAAGCTAGCCCCGATAATATTTTTTCGGACTCGATACTCCTCTGGCAGCTTGCCCAGTCCCAGTCGCCTCCAGGTCGCCCCGGAGCTGATGCAACTTCCCCTTGCAACAGCGTTTGCTTAAGAGCAAGAAGAGGCGTGGCCTACTTGCAGTCCGGGTTGCCATCATCAGGAAGGCGGAACCCTCGCCCTTCTTCTCCTGCAGCACGGCCCGAGAAGCTTCGGTCGAGTCCCTTATGGATGATGCTCGGATGGCGATGCCAAGAGACACTATGAGGCCTGCAACTTTCCCTCACCCATGCTTCTGTCTATCGGCAAGATGTGCGTGACTTCTCGGGAATCGTCCCAGTGCATCACCACAAATGACCGCAGTCTGGCCATTGGGACACCGCTGCCAGCTCTTTTTGATTCAATTACTCATAGCCATTCCCCTTCCCCTTCACCCTGTCCCCCACCTTCAAGCTCTTGTAGCGGCGCTGCTGTTCCGAGGCCAAGCGCATTCCCTCATCGGCACTTCCTGGAGGCTCCGTGGGAGGCTTGAGGGATTGGCCGATCCCAAAACCCGAGGTTGAGAGTTTGGGGTGTCGAACTCCTGTGCAAGCGCTTCAGGCGCTTCAGGACGTGGCATGGGCTGAAACGCAACTACACCAACCTCAACTCTGTGTGTTTTTCTCTCGATGCCATGTTCTAGAACATTGAGCCGGGTCACCCATGGCAGCCTGCGCATCCACCATGGCCTCACAGGGGCTGCGAAGCAAAGCTTTTCAGGTTCATCGACACCCCGCACTCCCAAATCGATCCCACGCAACCCGCCAGAAAATGCTCAAACTCTCCAGCTTTCGTGAAACATGCCAGTATCCGACCTTCAGGCACGCAATCTCCGCATTTCGCGATGCGCGGCTCGGGAAGGCCTGGTCGTGGGATTTGCGTGCCAGAGTCGTTAAAAAGACAAGAATGAAACAAGAAGCAACACAACCAGCGACAAGCCGAATGAAACGACTTGGAGCAACCCTTAGCCCGCGTTCCTTCAGCAGCCGGTGCACCCGACTCGACAACATCAGCTCTTGACAAAGCTGGCACCTGGTTTCGGTAGAGGCCGCAAGCCTGAGTGGCACACGGGCTAGACAAGTTTTCCTGGCATTGTTTGTTTGCAGTGTCTGACAAAATGAGTCTTCATTTCGAAGCCTGCTCGGCAGCTCGCAATGCCTCGCCTGGCTCCTCCTGGCAGACGGTCAACGGTCAAAGGTATGCCGCTACACCGCTACACTGTACTGAGCCAGGACGGGAATCAAGAATCTTATGAAGGCTTCGACGCATTCAGCTGAACTTGTTTGCCACCACACACTACAGTATGTCGGACAGCTTCGCACTGGCTCACACAAACGGTCGGCCAACGGTGGAGTATGAGGGTGGTTCCACAACACTGGCACGTCAACAGTTCTGATATACCTGAAGACACGTCTTTCCCTGCCCATCCACGTGATTAGAAGTTGTCAACATGGCAACTGGTTCAACGAGCCTTCTCCAGTCGAATGAGGGCAGTTGCCTGCAGAGCCTGTCGATGCATGCACTGGCTTCCCACATCCCCACACTTTGAACATCCCCAGACATGTGAGCAGAGAGACACTCACCAGGCAGTCGTCCCTATAGTTCCGAGCTCAACAGGCTGCGCCTTGGCTTCGGCCGTGCGATCGTTGGAGGCCTGGCGAAGCTGCGACTTCCAGGGGCCTCCACTTGCCCTTGATCGGGTCCCTTGCCAAATAAGCTTGTAGGCTTCAGGCAGGCTTCGAAAGGAAAGCTCACTCAGATGAAGTCTCCGTCCCCAAACCACCATGCAAAGCTCAAGAGATGTTCCACGGGACGCTTCGCTTGCCCACCTTGGCACAGGTGACGGCCTTGCAGCTCGAGGCTCGCAGCAATGCTGGGGGAGAGGTTTGGAGGCCAAGAACTAAGAAGGTCATGGACAAATAAATCACAGCTACATGGCTTGATGGCATCCTTCACCGACAGTTCTTCGAGGGTAAACATGCTGAAAAAGCTCTCCATGCATACGGTTTGGGAATACCGCCTCATGCTGCTCTTGACGACCTTTCGTTCAGGTGCTACGGAGCCCAACTGTGTGCAATGGCTGGAAGACAAACACAAACACGGCAACAAACGCAGAACCTTGGGCATAAGCTAGCTCCGAACTGCTCAAGGTCTGCCCGGGCCGTTTGCCCGAAGGCCGTAACTGGCGGTGCCTCCTGTGCCGCACGCAGTGCTTGGTCCAGCTCCTTGCTGTCCTTCCAAGAGTAGCACAGAAAGCATGTGAATAGAGCTCCCTTCTCTGTCTCTAGCATAACCAGTGCCTCTTGTCCCTGCAAACGCTTCACCCGTGTCACGATGACTCTATGACAAGATCCACCAAGGCAGTTTTGCGCAATGATGGAAAGTCTTTCCGAATCTGGGCAGTCCTTGTGGATCTTGGCGATGGCTAGCATGACAGAAGACTCTTCCTCCGGGCATTTTACAGCAAGTCGATCGGGCAGGAGAACCTGTCCACGCTGCGGCACCGGGCTGGCAGGCCTTCTTGTCGCCGGCCTGCCTGAACTTATCCGCAAGGCCCTGGCCCTCGCGGAGTGCCTCCGCTGGGTCCTCGACGAAAGCACGGCAGCATGGCCGTGGATGCTCTGAGCCTCTCAGCTCTTGAATGGATCTCCTCCTTGGCCATGCAAGCGGCACCGAGGGCCGCCAAAGCCTCGCTTTCCTGTCAGACTGTCACGTGAACTCACTCCACAACAAGGAACGATAAGAAACACATCCCCCAAGCTTCACAGCCTTGGACTTCAGCCCCATGCTCTGATACATCTTCAGTGCCTTTCCGGGACAGTTCATCGCCAGGCTACGCAGCGTCTCTTCAAAAAAGTCCGGAGTTCGAAGCATCTCCGGGAGGGGCCTCCTGGGCTGCGGCGACCCCCGCGGCAGACTCTGCGGCAGAGCAAAGCCCTGCAGCCTGGCAGTGCTCTCTGCGCGACGCACGTACCGGTTCCTCGAAATCCACCAGATCACAAGCCGATGATTCCGATGATGTGTGCGACAATGATTGGCAGGTTGGAAAGACGGTCCCTGTGATGCCGATGGTGCATACCCGGACCATCGGCATCATTCAAGAAAAGGGGTCCCGGCCTTGGCCACAAGGCACTGTGCCTTAGCCTCCAAAAGCTTCTCGCCGAGGCCCCTGAGCAGGAGCTCTGTCCAAGTGTTCTTACCTGGCGCCCTCGCCCGTCCAAGGCCGGCGCTTGGCCACTGCCAGCGCCTCCTGAGCCGAGCTCAGGCCGCGCTTGCCCGCCCCTTGGATGAGGTAGGCCTGAGAGGGGCACAGGCGTAGAAGCCGAGCATCGAAACTTCAAGGCAAAACGAAAGGACCGCAGGCACTAGGCCTCGACGATGGTCGCCAGGATCGCATATTCTCGCATCCTGCTTTCGACAAGCTGCAACGGTGGCGCTGCACTCGGGTCGCGCTTATCCCAACAGGCCCAACTCACCCTTCCAACACTGCAGTCCTGTCTCCAACTTGTCGAGACAGCTTCAGACCTTCCATGGCCCTGAAGACGCAATCATCGGTGCTGTCCTGTCCAACAGACATCAATGCGCTCTTGGTTTCTTGCCCTCAAAAGCGGGGGGACATCTTGAGAGGAAAAGTCCCAGGAACCCTAAACCCTAAACCCAAAGCCCGGGGAGCCTTCCCCAGGTGGGCCATGGCAATGGAGTGCAATGCCGCCACCTGGCCCTTGCCATGGCCGAGCTCCTGCAGAAAGTTGCCGCAGTCTCTCCCTCTCCCTCGCTCCCTCTCTTATATAATATAATTTTTGAGATAGTACAATTAATAATATAAAGTATAGCATAATATAGTATAGTATTATAGCATAATGATAATGTAAAGACCTGTAGCATGTCTCAGTCTATTCCCAGACGAACCTTTGAGCTGATCCGAGGTCCTTGAAAGTCTTCAGAGACTGGTTCGCCGCTTGCAGTGCCCCAAATGCATCCACACCCAGGGAGGCCACAGCAACGGCCCGCAGCGCCGTGGCCTCACCTTTGCACAGTCACGGATTTGCCTTCCCCGAGTGAGTTGCACACGGCGACCTGGTTTGCACCCAGAACAAGGGGGGAAACTTTACACAAACTTCTTCCAAACGCTGGAGTTGCCTGCTCTCGAGCTTGTCGCAAAGAGCCAAGGTGCCTTCTGGGACGTTCAGCTCCCGAAAGCTAGCCAAGGCATCCTTGGCGTTCCTGAGCGACCGTGTCTCGTGCTTCAAAAGCCCAAGCTGGTTTGCTCTGAAAGTCGTAGCTTTGGCGGCTTCTGTTACTCGGAATGCTTCTTTGTGGACCCAAAAGCCATCTGTAAAGCTCCGGTGCTGCAGACCTGAAATCTGCAGAAGGCCCACATGAGGAAATTCCAGCAACGCTGGGCTCTTCTTCCTTCCAAGCTTCTTGAGTGCATCCTCAGACTGAGGGCTCTCCATCTGCAGCTGAGCCAGGGAAGCCTCCAAGATGGGGGCATTTTGGGGGGAACTTGACTCATGAAACCTCCTGCTGTGTCACCTGGCCTTGACCAGGGCAGCAGCCTTCTGCCGCGTGTCCGTGATCTTCTGCGGGGCGTCCGCAGCCGCCTTTGCAGGCATGGAGCTCGTAGGGGCTTCTTTCGTCGGCACACTTCGGCCTTCAGGGCCGCTTCATCCTCGGTTTTGGAGCTGCTGAGGTCTGCCACGGTGATGGGCGTAAGCCTCACAGGCTCGGAGGGCTTCGACGCTGGGAATCGGGGGTAGCAAACTGTAGAATCCAAGCAGCTTCTCGGTCCAGCTTGCTCCGACCTCTTTGGCAAGATCCATGGCCTCCGGAGAGCTTCAGGATACAAAGATGCTGCAATAGCTCAAGTTCTTTCAAGATCATACATGCGGTACCCGTTTTGCTGCACGACTGGTCGGTGTGACTCGTGCTGAGAAGCATTGCAGGCCGAATCAAAGCCGAGCAATCGAACTCCCTTGTCCGGCCAACCGCAGTGCCAAGCCACAGCTTTGAGCGTCGCACCCGAAGCCTCCACAGGCGAAGATAAGTCGGTTTTTGAGGTGAAGGCTCGGGTCGCCTTGCCGGAGGCCGTCTTGGCCAAGTCGGCGGCCTCCAGAGACTCCAGAGGAGACAAATATTAGATGTCTGAGCCTTTTTTCGCACGACACGTGAAACCGCAATCTGACAGCGTAATGCCTCAAAGATCATCCACTTGCTGCGCCTTGCCCCAGGGTCCCGAGTCGCCACCGCTGCCACCAGCTGCCAGCAGGCCTGCCGCCTGTGAAAGGCCCCTTGACACCCTATAGATTCTGAGCCTTTGTGACAATGCCTTCACTCGTACCCCTGCACGTCCCTCGAAAGAAAATTGAAGCCTCTGTCACACCGCATCCACCAACGGATGTGTCGTCATCACCGTAATCATGCTCTACACATGGGAAAAGCAGGCAAAAAAAATCAAGCATCGAAGCACTCTCTGTGTCATATCGAACTATCCAACGATTTCGTCACCCCAGCCTCGCTCCAGCTAGCACCGAGGCTACGCAGGGCCTCGATGAAATCAGGGCCTGCCAAGAAGGCACAAAGCTGAAATACGAAGTGCAGCATATTGATACAGATCAGAAGAATATCTGACAGGTAACTTGCGAATTGATGGTTTCTGGTACGGAAGCACGTGAATAGTTTCTGTCGGCTCCCGGCCGACGAATACAAATTTGCAACTTCATTGTCTTTTACGTGTCCTGAGGCCACGGTCCCTAAGCCAGAAAGCTACAAACAACTGCCAGTAATTACTCTCAGCCTCCACAGAATCAAAGTGCCGCATCGAGTAATGTGCAAGTTAAATTTAAATAATGATCGGATTGCGACTCGCCAATGACGGCGTTCCGAGTCCGGGCGGAGAGATCTGCCTGTCTTTCCGATCTGGGCGACCGCTGCAGTGATCGCTCCCGCTGCTTCAAGCATCTTCATGCCATTGTCCTTGCCCTGCAGGTTTCTTCGCTGTTCTGCGCTGCTTACAGCGCTTAAAGTCCGGACCGGGGCTGAGGACGACACACACTCCCGTTCACAAGATGGAGGTTGGAAGTAGCGAACTGGACTCTTGCCCTCAAACCCATGTTAATCAGCTGCCAGAACCCCCTGCCCAGTTTCAGCAACCTCGACCCTCAACATGCAAAGGACAAGCTTCAACGGACCTGGCAGCTAACTTCTACTCCAAAGATCACCACCGGCATGGCATGAACCACACTCCTATAAGTCTTCCGCGAGTGTATTTCGAAATGGACTATCGTCAGCAGCTGGAACTCGAGAACAGTTTTCCAAATGAACAATGCAACTCACAAAGTAGGGCATCAACGGATGCTGCTCGGGCTCCCTTAGAGAGGCTTTCGACGAACGTCAGCGCAAAGGACTTGTAGGTGGACTTACACATGTTGATGCAAGATCTCGTGCAATGCAAAGATGTGTTTGTGAAGACTATTGCAGACATTCGTCCAACTTCGGCTTGCGAAGCCTTGGCGGTAGTGAAACTCTTGCACACAAGATGCCCGCTGCAATTCGTTCAAATGCTGCAGCTCGGCGCGGGCCTTCCGCCTGATAACGCGCCTATCAATGTTGAGAACAAGAAAGCTCTTAAATGTTCCAACATGATTTTGGAGAGGCCCGCAGCGAATTCAACCGGTCATTACACTGCATGCAAGTTCGGGGTATCTTTGCCCCAGCAGCCGCAGAAAATCTGCAACTTCGGCTTCACAGGCCTTGCGTTAGTCCCTCATGAGAGACTCTCGTTGCAGCTCGAGTAACTGCTCCACTTCGAACCTTGCGAAGATTCTTCAACTTAGGCTCTGCAACGCCTGTACGGTGGTGAAACTCTTACAAGAAGGTTGCGCACTGCAAATCGTTTAAATGTTGTTCAAATGTTGCAGCTTGGTGCTGGGTTTTAAATTTGATTAAATGCCAACCACTGCTGAGAAGAAGAAGTTTCTGAAACGGTCCAGCCGCGAGTGATAGACATGAACTTGGGAAGGCATTTCACGAATTAAGCCGACCATTGCATCAGCATTCCATGCAAGGCGTTTCTTTGCCCCAGCAGCTGCAAAAACTCTGCAACTTGGGCCTCAAAGGTCTTGCGATTGTGAACCTCCCTCACAAGAGATTCTCGCTGCAGTTCAAGCAAGTGCTCCACTTCGGATCTTGATGCTTTTTCCTGCTGCAGCTGCTGCCGCAACTCTTCCGTAGCTTCCTGTGCCTCGGAGGCTTTGCCTTGAGCCACCTCTAGCTCCGAGCGGAGTTGCTGTAGGGCGGTCGCTTCTTTTTTCACGGCGGGGCAGGCAGTCGCCTGCTTCGTGGCATGCTCCAGCAGAGCTGCCAACAGCTCCGTCTCGCACTCGCGCCCATGGCTGTGCACCTTACTCGGCTTCTCAGAGGTCTCCACCAGAGGCCCTTGGATCTCGTTCTTCTTCTGGTGCATTGCCTTCTTGGCCGTCTCGAGTTCTGCCAGGAGACTCTTCATTTCGCGGTCTTGAAGCTCGAGCTTGTCCTGCATCTCCCGCTGAAGCATCTCGCGCCTTCTCCGCTCATCCCTTACCTGGCCTTTCAATTCCTGCGAGACGCGTTGCTCATGGTTGAGCAGGAGGCGCATCTCCTCCAGTGCAGACTGCAGCTGCAAAATCTGATCGTTTGAGGCATTGTCAAAGCTCGTTGGCTGGCAGACCCAACCTGCCACACGGGCGACCTGTGTCCAGAGCATGGCCATAACCGAACCTAGACCGACAGCGAGTAGAGTAATCTTACTCGTGTGCGCTGGAGCCGAGCGGTTACGGAAAGGGCCATGCAAACCCTGCACAGCTTCTGCAAACGTTGCTGTTGCATCAAAGCTGGGATACTCACTCAATTTCGGCCCTGCACATCGGCGCCGCAGCTTCTGCCCACTCGTACACATGCTTACAGCAGCCACTTCATCCCATTGCCCCGCCTTCTTCTGAAGATCCGTCCCCAGCTTGGCGGCGTCATCGGCCTTTTTGCTCGCCTTGACAACAAACTCTCTAAGCTGGGTTGCAAAAGGAAGCAAATCGCACATGAAGCACGAAGAACTGGCACCGAGCTGGCAGATATCAGGAAACTATCTGAAGCTCCATGCCGAACCACAAACCGGAAGCCCAAAGCATTCAGCCACAAGCAAGCTGCTTTTCCGGGCCCCACACCAACAGGTCGAGGGCGGTTGCCCAGGTGGTTGCCGCCTAGTGCCACATCAGAATCAGCCATGAGTAAAACGGTTCCCAGGACCCGCATGTCAAGGCAGCTTCTGCATGGCATTTAGCCAGCCTCTCCTATGGGCGCCATGGCTGCAGATACTTTCGTCGACTTAGCGAAGAGCCGGAGCTGCGGATGCGGCGACGTGCGGACTCTGGGCTGGCGCCATCCCTGTAGCCTACGACTCCTGACCAGGACTTGGGCTAGCGAATAAGCTTACATTTCACTAGTGCCACAACATGAAACCCATGAACAAACTCCTAGGCTTTGACATCATCGACAGCCTCCGAGTCCCTCCCTCCCCCACTGACGCCCATCAGCACACACAGCAACACCATAAGCAGTGCCTGGTCGGTTTCATGCTCCTGGGACGATTTCTGGTCTTGCAGGCCAGTCTCAACCAAGGCTTCGGGGTATCCGAGATGCGTATCTTCCAGCGAGACAAGTTCACTCACTTTTGACAGCTGCCTTGCGCTTCTCACATTAGACAGCAAACTTCGCAACCTGGACTCACGACGGTCATGACGTGGCTCTATGACAGTCAGGACCCCGCCGAGTAGAAGAAGATACCGATGAATGCACCAACCTCAGTCGCAAGCAAACTTATCCCCTTCTCAGGAATGCCGTTGACTCCAAAGCCCATCCCGAAGCGGATGCTTGGCCAAAGCTGCAGCATTATGACCGTACCTGAACTGTAACCGAACCTGCCCTGCCACATTCTGCCACCAAGTAGCAATGTTTGAAGCCACAATGAGGTAGCACCTCGCCAGAACAGCTCCATGACAAAGACAACTCAAACAGGCGCAATTCTCAAGGCTCGTCTTCCTGAAGTCGGGTTTGGGCACCCCTTCCCTTCGGCTGCACTGAACTTCGGCGGCACTGAGCCGAGCACAAGTCTTGGAAGCTCAGATGAGAAAACACCTCCGGTCAAGCAAAGGGTTGGGCCTGATAAACGAAGCCAGCCTTGTGAGTGTCCATTTTGGACCGGTGGGAATGAATGTTCTGCGAAGCTTATAAGCTTCTCACAATCCTCAAGCCATCGTCCAAGCCTTGGCGACCAAAGGGCCGAGGATGGCTCCTGTAGGGCCAGCGTAAACTTGGACGGGAACGCAGGGGCCAAGGCCGCGCCGGCCTAGGGTCACCACAATGCGCTGGAGCACCAGCACCTGGAATCGCTGGAGGATGCTCAGGGGCTTTCCGATCATGGAAACATATCTGGGCGACCAAAGCTGCAAGTGCAAGATTGACATCTGCCCTCCACAAGGGACATCTGAAAAGGGCGCCGAGACTGCGAAGAGAGACCCGAGATCGCTCTACTGTCCCACGCCAGCCTCGCGCAGCTCCTTCTCTGAGGTCGACTCTTCCTGCAACAGTCTTGTTGCTCTTTCATACTTCGTCTAACTTCGCGCGCTCTCTGCAAGCTTGTTGCGGGTGTTCTAAGATGTGTGAACGTTGTTGACATGGCTGTTTTGGCTTCTGAAGGCTCAGGGAATTGGACATGACTTGACATGAGCCTGAGCCCCTCAGGCTGGTGGTTCTCTGCGCGAACACGGTGCCTAGTGTCATCTCCTTGTGCCATTCTCTGCCCACAGCAGCTCTCAGCGCTTGAAAACGGACGGCACTCAGCGACGGTCCATCAAGTACGCGGTTTCCACGGGTCCGGAGCTTGCAGCGATCCCGCCAACGGCCTGATTCCGACAAAGCGTGCACTGCTCATGAAACTCCTTCCACGGGAAACCGTAGGGGCAGAGGAGAGCCACATTCACAGACCAGTACCGAAAGAAGCGCGAAGCTTCGACCGAAGGTTCAATAGACCCCGCGGCGAACCAAAGCCCTCCGGCGCACTCGGACGACGAGCATCTGCGTCAAGTTTTCAGCCTTGGCCTGAGCGCACAGCTCTGTGCGGGCTTCCGCCAACGGCAAGCCAGCTCACAGCTCACAGCTACGCTTCAGGTCAAGAGCAACGTGCACGACAAACAAACGCAACTCCGCATCCCCGAAACTCGCCTGGAGGAAGCTGACAAATGCACCGCCCAGCAGCGCCATTATCAAAATCCTCGTCAGGATTTCATGGATGCTTCTCCACAAACATAGCTCACGCGGCACTTCTGTCCGGGGGAACCTGCAGGATTCACAGCGAAAGGCCTGCTGCCACTAGGGCTTCTATTTAAAATGGCTTTTGCACGACGCGGCCTCAGAGTGGTGTTCTCTTATCTATTGTGTCAGTCTGTTCCTGCAGATGTTTGCATGAGGCCTTCAGCATCTACCGGCTGCATATAGATTGACTGGAAGCGTCCTCTTGCGGCCAACGCGATCCGACAGCGTCCCAATGAAAGGCGAAAAGATCATCTGAGTGAGGTTGTAGACCTGGACGACACTGTTTGGAGGGTCGGGCTCGGTCGCATTGTTAAATATTGTCGAAGCAACTGGTTGCAAACGACAGGTCATCAATAGTCAAAGCCCACGGCGGAACTGTTGGGACTGGGCTCAACGAAATCAAAGTCTATGGCGGAACTGTTGGAAACTGGGCTAGATGGCTCTGCAAACAAGCGGATGCAAAATCTCTGATGGATCCTCCTATCGAAGACAAGTACGAAGCACTCTTGTGATTGTAGTCTGAGCTCCCAGACGGTGCCCTGTAATGCCTTAGCTTCCGGAAAAGGCGCAGCAGGCTGAAGTGCGAAGTGGGTTTCAAGCGATTCGGGGTTGTTGGGAGCAACACGCAATCAGCTCAGGCCCTCCCCACCAGGAACAAGGCAACAAGAACACTGCCAAAAACAACGACCGTGGACCTCGGGAAAAAGGAACAGCGGCTGGAAACATTGATGCATGTTAATTACTGGAACTCATTGCATAATGCAGGCATAGTGGCAATGTCGAATGCGTTTGCACCCATCTCCAAGACCTGGGCGGGAGAGCCGAAGGGCTCCAAGTCTTTGAATGCCGGAAGGATCCAACTGGCGTCGACGTCTTAGCAGCTAGGAAACGGAAACCCTTCCCTGCCAATCTAAGGCTCAAGCATAGAACGGCAAGATTGGCATCAAAGCCATGGAGGTCGTCGAGTTGATAGTCCTCGGTAGGCGGCGGATTTGCGAGCATGACACAGGCCAATGAAGCAAAGGAGTCTACAACCCGAGCTGCAAGTTGGATGCTGGGAGTTCAAGCTCTGGCGGTGTCTCTCATCTCAGGGCTCGCGATGTTCGCGGACACTACAACAGCAATTGCAGTCCCGAACCGTCCGAAGAGTCTCTGACCACGGTCTCAACAGCCGTGCTGACACGTCTGGCCCTGGTCGAGCACCCCTTCGCGTTTTGGGGAGCGGTCCTACAGTCCTACAGCTCGTCACGGCTAATTGGCCCCGAAGCTTCAATGCAAGCTAAGAAGCTCGACGATCAGGAGCGCAATCACCGAAGAGCTCACCATGATTCTTGCAGGAAAACTCGCCCAAAAAGGGCAGAAGCGAGGAAGCGAGTACGAGAAGCTGTCGGAACTCCGAACGAGACTCTTGGATTGAGTGACTTGCACGCTAGTCTGGGTTGGAAGTCTGGTGCTGCTGACGGCTACAAGCACGATCCTCGAAGTTCAGTTGTGAAGGAGAGCTTAGGATCGAGGGCTTTCGACCCAAAATAGCTCTGTGAACGGGCGAAGTCATGAAGGAAACCCAGTTGTTTCTTCTACAACTGACGTGCGCTTTCTACAACTGCCGAATGCCCATGTACACGACCCGAAACCCCTTGCAAGCAAAGATGGAAGATTACTTCTGTGTCACTCTTCCACGCCTGTCACCCAGCTCCATCTGAGCGAAAAAGTTGTGTCTACACATACACAGAGACTGCTATCTCTCGCCGTTTGATAACGCACGCTGACAAGCACACCAAAGGTTCGTTGAGGCAAACATGTCGGATCTTCCAATATGAAGCCATCCAGATTGCCATGAGTCTCCTTGACCTCCCGCGCAAAAGCAAACACCGAGCACTGACCGATACATAGAGCACAGGGCTGCCGCTGCCACTGAGCTTGCGCAAGGCCGTGTTGCTGATGGCTGCCGTGACCATGATCCCTCGTCCCTCTGCAACTGGCCCTCAGGTAGCTCTCGTAGGCGTTCTGCAGGACGAGCTGCTGTCGCCTTGAACTTTTTCTGAGATGGGTGGAGCTATTCTGCAAACAAGGTGACAGGCAAACAAAAAGTCCACACCAGTGATCCATGCACCATATCAACCAACCGATAAGATGCTGTGCACAGCAGCATCACGCTGAGTCGCTTTTGCTGAGACGCCCCTTTGCAACTCAGCCAGGTTCTAGAAATTTCATGAATGCAGCTGAAGTGACACTGAAATGTCAACCGAAGGCAATCATGATGGTGGCTCGTGCATTCGAATTCTGAAGATGGTCGGACGCTTTGTTATCAATAGAAGCTTCCAGCGACGCTAAGCCTCTGCATGGTCGACAGATCTGTCAATATCGGTGGCACATTAATTAAATTAAGCCAGAGTCGCACCGCTACTACCACTACCAACAGCCGTTCTGAAGAAGCAATGCTCTTATCTCTCACCTGCATATATTGCTGTGGCAAGTCACTGATCGCGAAACTTCCGGAAAAACATTGGTTATCATTCGTTATGTTTTTCAACGCTGCTGGATGTATCTGTGGTGCTGCTTTCATTTGCCTCGTTCAATGCGGAAGAGACACAGAGGCGTCTGTTCCAGAGTTTTACATCAGCATCAGTGTTCACATCGTTCCCTGTGCTGAGCCATGGAGAGGCTCATAATTTTGAGCTGCCTCCATCAGCATTGACACGAAAGAGATGTAACAAAGTTTCGCCCCGGCAGAGGTGATATGACTTTCCCACCTCGCAAGCAACTGCGATTCGACATTTCCCAGCCATGGACTGACAAGACTGCAGGATTGCAGTAAAGACATTCGACATTCGATATAGCCTTACAAACTACGACATAGGTCCCGGCCTCGGCACAAGCTGGGGACCCCTCTACTAGGCTCCCGTGCGCGGGCTCAGTTTCAGTGCCATAGTCTTGCACCTGGGACAGCCACGAGATCGCCAAAATTCGTTCGTAGGTGGCTTGGGAGTCCAGACTTTATGTGGCGGACAGCTGGGGCCCTGACCGGGTTTGGATTGTTCGAGGGGTCTGGCTTCAGCGCTTGTGTTCCGACCTAAGGAGCATGCTAGGCACACCCTGAGGCACATTGGCTCTGGTACTCTCTGGGTGATAGAAGCATCCCAGGATCCCGCCATGATGACGGCACTTGTGTTGGTCTGGCTGAGGCGCGTGGCCAACCTCGGTAACACAAGCGTTCATGAGCGCACATCTGCAGCAGGTTAGCACAGATCGAGGCTCCAGCTGACTGAGGAGTGTTTCGAAAGGGAAGCAGCGAAGATTCTGCTCACCTTGACAGTCCTGACGCATTGTTCCAACACTCTGCCATCCCCAACACATCACCTCACCACATACCCATACACGAGCAACCAAGCTCCTCATATTCCATCTCGTATGGCAGCGCGAAGGAAAGAAGCCAACGGGTACCTCAGTCCCAGATACGCAAGATGCACCTGGCTGATCCTGCACTAAAGCTTCCTCAATTGCCGGTGCTGAGTGCCCTGCGTGGGATGTCTTGAAACTGACCGAACACTGGAGAGCTCCACTGTTCTGGGCACAGAAGTTCATCAATCAGGAAGGAAGTTCTACTGTCCTACACTGAGAAGATTGCGAAGCTGCAGAACTTCAGCGAAGCCGGGCTCGCCCCAATCGTGCAACCGGGGCAGTGGTGTCATCCTTTTTCAATCCTTCTGCGTCGCGGATCGCGGCCAGGGCCGGGAGCCCTTTTTAACGCTCGGGTTGTTCTAAAACGTGGCAGACAGGCTCGGGTGCGGACCCATGCATTGGAGGAGTGTCATCAGCTTCGCCTCTACCTTTGCAAGGCTCTCAAGCAAAAGCTCGATTTCCGGCCACAAGAGGGCTCAGCCAAGTAGCCATTCGCTGGGTCCAGTCAATCTGCGAAAGGTCCAACGGAACCAGCAATGGGACCTTCCAAGAAGTTTGAGTCGCTTTGTGTCCGGGACAAGGGTACATGCTCTGTTCGCCAAACCGACCACAGCTGCAACGCTACTCCAACGCTCCGCACCGGGGATCACACAGGATGCTCTCAGCCTATTTGGAATATCAGCTACGTATTTAACTGTTTACAACACACCCCTAACTGGTTCCACAGTAAGGCCAACACTTCAGTTACCGGCTAAGGTAGACATGTATGGAAATGTAGATAGGAACATAGCAGGCAGACGTTTCCCAGAGTTCCAACATGAAGTGTCGATGACATGATTTGTGACTCTGGAACCTGCTGGCAGTTTTGATCCCCCTGCAGGGAAGCCGGGCACCTCCCGAAGCGCTGGAGCAGCAGACCCGGCGATGCCTTGCTGTCGGACCTGGGGCTGTTGCGACTTGTGAGTCTACAGTTGCTCACCCTTGTTTCTCGTCATGCTTCGGGCTAGAGCCAAAGAAACCGAAATGTCGTTTCTTTCAAACGAATGCCGAAGTCTTCAAGCCAGCCTGACACAGGCCGAGGATGGCTGCTGCAGCTGCTGTTTGGGAGTCTCTGGCACTCGCATCTGCTAGTGCTATCCATCGACCCAACTTCTCACAAATGCGTCGGGTGGATGTGCGCCCAGGCTCGTAAAAACGCTTGTTATGCAAAAACAGTTTAAGTCCTAGGACTTGAGCGTAACCTGCATACTACAACAGCACTAGCTGTTCCAAAAGCCGGCAGCACGAGCCAACATTTTTGAACGGCGTGTGTTGGAGCGTTTCTGACGTCATTATTCATGGTGCTCACCACACACCCCGAAGAAACGCGTTGCGGATGAGCAGTGCTCCTGGTCTCCAGAGACACTTAGAGTGGCCAGTACCATGTTGATCCTGATGACTTTTCATTTCATATCTTTGGCATGACGGCCCCTGCAAGCCGACTAGAAGGAACGGGCCAGCCCAACAGCTAAGGCCTGTCCCATGATAACAGCAGCATAGTCTTCGACACGCAGCAGGAAGCACCCCACCAGGGGATGGCATGAAAGTGAAAGACCGTTGCCGCAACAAAGGAAGACCAGACCGGGTGGATGCAAGTGATGCAACAGACAGAGCTAGGCGAGTTGCGGAGAATGACGATTGGTTCAACACAGAACTCCAGCCGCTGCATGAATGCTCGCAGGCATGCGCAACAGGCTCCGTGTGGCTTTCTTCCGAGACCAACCATGTCTCAAGATTCAGGGTTCCGTTTCCAAAGCACCCAACATGGAAAGTTAGAAGAATGAGCGGCAACGAATGCAGGATGTCTTCTACGACAAGTATTGCTATTGACTGCTATTGCTCTGCCTATTCCATCTATAGCAATAGAGTCTCTTGGGCCTTCAGACTTGCTTCCTCTCTTCTTTTCAGCATCCTGTGGGTTCTTGAACGAGAGCCTTCACGAAGGGCACGCACGAAGCGCGTTCAGCCGAGCAATCGTTTCAAAGTGCCTCTGAGTGCTTGCGCAGTCCCGGGAGGGTCCATGCTGCAGATTCTGGGATAGTATCTGTGAGAGCGTAAGCCAGCAAGCCCGTGTCTTAAAAAATTGATAGCCAGCTTGCAGGACTGCATTCCAACTGTCTCGACTCAGGCCCCAACCCAAGCCACGATCACTTCCAGCATGGACTTATACATGGAATAGCTTTCATCTTTGGGCTCCAGCCTTAGTCGTGGGCTCTGACTTGGCCTGCCTGGCCATGCAGAAACGCACAATGCAACTTCTCAGGCACCAGAACCCACCCATGACGATTGGCAACAAAGGAAGAACGGTGACGTTGCACTCGGGCGAATCAGGACGCCACGTACAGTCAGTCCGCACGAGCGGCAAAAGCTTGAAGAGATCGAGGGAAAGGTCAAGGCCTTGGCTTGGCGAAATGCGACTAAAACGCCTGACATGTCATGTCTCACACATGATGTCTGTGTCAGTCCGGATCGGTGTAGGCTGACTGCTCCAGCCGACCATCTCAATCTCCTCGAGGACATTACCATCCACCGTACCTCTAGCAGCTAGCATAGACAACATGCGCAACCGTAGAACGGAGCAGCTTCAACACAGTTTACTGCAAAAAAATATCTGCGAGGGGAGCTACTCTTCCAAAACTCTGAGCAAACGAACCGGGGGCTGTCAACTTCCGCTCTCTGCAAAAAAGAAGACATGGCTCTCCGACGACCCGACAGGCCTCCGAAGCGAATGAAGTCTGTCGCAAGGTGGGAGTCCGAGTTTGTCTCCGGCGACGTCTTTCCTCGCAGCGAAAAAACACGGTTTGGGGGTTTATAGGGGCTTATAGGGGTTTACAGGGGCTTATAGGGGGTTTATAGGGTTTTTAGGGTGTTTTAGGGATTTTTCGAGTTTTTGTTAAAGGGTTTAGGGTTTGGGGATATTGGGGTTTAGGGTTTAGGGGGTTTAGGGTTTAGGGCACATCCAAGCCTACACAGAAGGGTTTGCGAGAAAAGCACGGCCTTGCTTCAGCATCTCCGCGTAATGCTTTGCCAAATGGAACGTTGGCACCAACTTGCAAATGCCTTCCCGGGGTTCTGCGATGCACCGAAGCCCTGCTTCCACAACTCAGAGACTTTGAGGACACCTCCCTGAACATCTTCGAGCCCTGGCACTCCGAGCCTTGTTGTCTCATGAGCTCCAGGAACGGCGCATGTGCCTCGTTCCGGTTCCTCGGGGCAAGCGGCCTGAGTGGCAAAGACCACACCAGCGCAACGTACACCTGCGACCAGAGACAGTTCACAAAACCTCGGCTGCCAGCCAAGGCCGAATTCGTAGCGTGTCTGCCTCCACATGCTTGGCTTCGCTGCAGCCCCGGGGACTAAGGAGATGGCCCTCTTTTTCTGGAAAGGGAAGCAAGGAAGTGTCTCAGCACGTACTGTGTGGCATTCAAGCACAGTGCCTGCATGGCATTGCCAATCAAAGGCAGGTCTCGCCTCAGGCTGCAACAGGCTCAGAGCTGCACCGACAAGACCGGTAGCCTACGAGCTAGCTGCAAATCCAACGTGCCGATGCAGATGGCAAAAACTGCGCGGCTGTGGATCCAGCTGATGCAGCTTCTGGAAGACTGACTTGTAGTAGCCTTGCCTCGGGATGCGTTTCAGCCACAAACGCCTTCCATGATGCAGCTGTCGACAAATTGTCTCACGCGACTTTGTTGGTTGACAGGAATCAAGGTCTGGAAATAACTCACAATGTTGTCACAATGCAGACCGCCCTTGGGGCGTGCACGACGATAAACACGCCGCTTGGCTCTACAAACCCAGGCCGTGAAAGCTCACAGAGCTCGGGTGCCCTGCGGATCGGACTCCGGAAATGGGAAAGGCTCGCCTTGACAGGATGCGCGAGCCGTGCCAGCCGAACGCATAAAAAAAGCTGCTTGTGCTGAGTTACATGCTCGACTTGCGCAAGCAGCAAGGGACAGCACACTACCACAGCACCACAAGTTCTGGCGGCAGCAATGCCACAACAATCGCAGAAGCCCGAAGACCCGCCTACAAGATGCGGCACATATTGGACTGCTCGGATCGGCAGGCCCTGCAGGCAGTCAGAGGTTCTGAGGCACTACAGATCACCCACCAGACCTGTAGCCCTCAAAAGGCACAGAAGGTGGCAATGATGCAGCAATTCGAGCTTGGCACTCGTGGCACGCCTTGAGCAGTGCCTTTGCCCTTAGATGCCTTAGATGCGCTTGGCCCCTAGTCCCAGGATAGCCTTGTGCTGTGCACGGCAGGTGTTCGATTCGTTCTCCCGCAAGCGGCGCTCTTGTGGCTGCTGCAAGCGCTCTTCCTCCAGCTCGCGAATTCTGCTTTTTCAAGTACTGGGCATCACAAATCCCAGCATGCAGGCCTATCATGAGTTGATCCGAATGCGAACTACCTGAACCACCTTCCATATTCTTGCATGTTGGAGATTCCAAGGACTTCTCAGCACGGCTCAGTGCTTCTCAATGCAGGGTCGAAGCTTGATCCAACCCTCTCCTTTGGCAGCCGCCGCGGTTCTCGCGCTGGGATCTGCCTTTGAGGCTCCTGCCGAAGAACGATGTTTCGAGGGCTGCCTAGAAGTCTTCCGCGAGTATTTCGTTTCGAAGATGGACTATCGTCAGCAGCTGGGACTCGGGAACGGTTTTCCGAATGAACAATGCAAGTCACAAAGTAGGGCATCAACGGATGCTGCTCGGGCTCCCTTAGAGAGGCTTTCGACGAACGTCAGCGCAAAGGACTTGTAGGTGGACTTACACATGTTGATGCAAGATCTCGTGCAATGCAAAGATGTGTTTGTGCTGACTATTGCAGACATTCGTCCAACTTCGGTTTGCGAAGCCTTTGCGGTAGTGAAACTCTTGCACACAAGATGCCCGCTGCAATTCGTTCAAATGCTGCAGCTCGGCGCGGGCCTTCCGACTGATAACGCGCCTATCATGCTGAGCACAAGAAAGTTCTTAAATGTTCCAACATGATTTTGGAGAGGCCCGCAGCGAATTCAACCGGTCATTACACTGCATGCAAGTTCGGGGTATCTTTGCCCCAGCAGCCACAGAAAATCTGCAACTTCGGCTTCACAGGCCTTGCGTTGGTCCCTCATGAGAGACTCTCGTTGCAGCTCGAGTAACTGCTCCACTTCGAACCTTACGAAGATTCTTCAACTTCGGCTCTGCAACGCCTGTACGGTGGTGAAACTCTTAACGGTTCAAATGTCGTTCAAATGTTGCAGCTTGGTGCTGGGTTTTAAATTTGATTAAATGCCAACCACTGCTGAGAAGAAGAAGTTTCTGAAACGGTCCAGCCGCGAGTGATAGACATGAACTTGGGAAGGCATTTAACGAATTAAGCCGTCCATTGGATCAGCATCGCATGCAAGGCGTTTCTTTGCCCCAGCAGCTGCAAAAACTCTGCCACCTGGGCCTCAAAGGTCTTGCGATGATGAACCTCCCTCACAAGAGATTCTCGCTGCAGTTCTAGCAAGTGCTCCACTTCGAGTCTTGATACTTTTTCCTGCTGCAGCTGCTGCCGCAACTCTTCCGTAGCTTCCTGGGCCTCGGAGGCTTTGCCTTGAGCCACCTCTAGCTCCGAGCGGAGTTGCTGCAGGGCGGTCGATTCCTTTTTCACGGCGGGGCAGGCAGTCGCCTGCTTCGTGGCATGCTCGAGCAGAGCTGCCAACAGCTCCGTCTCGCACTCTCGTTGTTTCAATACATGATGGTGCACCTGACTCGGCTTCTCAGAGGTCTCCTCCATAGGCCTCGGGAACTCGTTCTTCTTCTGCTGCAGCGCAGCCTTGGCCGTCTCGAGTTCTGCCAGGAGACTCTTCATTTCGTGGTCTTGAAGCTCGAGCTTGTCCTGCATCTCCCGCTGAAGCATCTCTGCCCGCCTCCGCTCATCCCTTACTTGCGCTTTCAACTCCTGTGAGACCCGTTGCTCATGGTTGAGCAGGAGTCGCATCTCGTCCAGCGCAGACTGCAGCTGCAAAATCTGATCGTTTGTGACATGGTCGGAACTGGTTGGTTGGCAGACCCAACCTGCCACACTGGCGACCTGCGTCCAGAGCACGGCCATGACCGAACCTACACCGACAGCGAGTAGAGTAATCTGACGCGTGTGCGCTGGAGCCGAGCGATTCGGAAAGGGCCATGCAAACCATGCACAGCTTCGGAAAACGTTGCTGCATATTGCTGCACACAAGCCGAAGGAGTGAAACAGTTGGCAAAGACAGCAGGGGCACTCTTGCCCTCAAACCCATGTTAATCAGCCGCCAGCACCCCCCGCCCAGTTTCAGCAACCTCGACTCTCAACATGCCCGGACAAGCTTCAACGGACCTCGTAGCTAACTTCTACTCCAAAGATCACCGCACCCCACCAGCATGGCATGAACCACAGATCATGGCCTCAAAGCTGCGACTGATGTCGGGCCGGAGCAGCCTGGGATATGATCAGACTGGAAAGCACATGGGCTTCTCTTGACCGTCAAACCCGAAAACCGGCCTCGGAAACCCCGTACGACTAGCTCAGAAAACTGGGCGGGCTATCTCTGTAACCTCTATCCCTAACCCTACACCACACAAGCCCCTGAATCCAGAGTGGGTTGTTGTCTGCTGCCGTTTTCTGGGCCAGGGGTGTAGTTTCTGACGAAATCGCAGAGCTGCAACGAATGCTTTGAGCAGCAGCAGAAGCAGTGCTTGCTGCACGAGCAGCGGGGGCTCCGAAAGGGAGTGTTGTTTGCAAACGAGGGTCCCAAATACCTCTCACTCACTTTAGCTTATCTTACCATGTGCTGATTTGCTGCTGGACCTCCCAGCAATTTCTCCTCTTTTCCTCCGACACAGGCCTGCACACTGGGACGGTCTGTCGATCAAGAAAGGAGAATCGGGCCGCAAGATGCCGCAACCACGTGGCCGGAGCATCTCCAACTCAATACCAATGCGCATTGTGTAGGGTTTTTGGCTTATTCGCTACTGTGAAGATTACTCAGCTGCTGTATACAGGGGCAAGGAAGATGCAGTGCCCTGTCTGTCAGTCACGCTGTACACACACTCGAAGCTCCTGCAAAAATCAGTCAACATGTGTAGCGTTCCGTGATTGTTACTTGCAGGAGCTTTGCCATATGAGCTAAATCAAAAGTCAGGCGATGACACGAAAGTTGGCACTGTGAATAGGGCTCTCTCTCATACACAAACTGTTCCTGCAAGCTTCCAGTGCCAGCTTTTGAACCATCCGGTATCGGAGAGACAAGACCACCGCCTTACAAACAGTGAGGAGAGGATTCTGTGGATGAAGCTGCGGGACTGTGCACTTCACTCTATCGTACACGACATGACACATTGAAACCACAGTCCTCGTTGTTGTGCATGCAGTGTATTCCGGCACCTCACCCAAGCATGGACAGCCACCCTAGAGTCGACCTCATGATTGCTATCAGAGACTTGCCCTGCTTGCGAGTCGTAGATCATTCTCTGGAGGGTGAGGTGTAACCCTATAGCTATCTGAGCATATTGTCGATTTGCAAAAACTTGGAAGACAAGTTGACTCGGTTTTCAGCGGAACTGTGAAAGCATGTCCTGACCACTACCAGCAACATTACATGAGATTGATGCCAAGGCATCCCCATCCGGCTCGGAGCCCAAAAGCTCGAGCTCCGCTTGTCCGCACCGAGTACCCTTGCAGATAGGGTCGCAAAGGGCCGCAAGAGCCCTGACGGCACGGGTGCTCAGAATGGAGCATACAAGCAACTGTAGACAAGACAAGCTCTGACAATGACTTCTTCATCTCCCCCGATCCCTCGATGTCTCCATGTGGGCACCAGCAAAAAAAGACCTTCTGCAGCGGGATGCTGTGCGCAGTGCACTGAATGCACACACTGGCCCGGCTGCATCCAGAAGGATCGCAGAAACAGCCCACCCTTCTACAAAGGCTGGAAAATCAAGGGATCTGCTTCCTTTGCAGGAGCCCTGCTGGCTCTCTGCGGAGCTTGGCAAACTTGGTACACTGGGATCGGCCTCCTGCACAAAGCTTCAGATGCACGTGAGCTGGCATGCTAGACTGGGACAGGAAGGGAACCTACACGTCAGCTTTTGCCTGCATGCGGCGAGAAAATAGGCTAACCTAGCTCAATGCTACTCGCCAGCTCTGAAGTCCCCGACGCGGCCTGGGGCGCATCCCACCTTTCACGGAAGCACAGCTCACTCCGCGTAGCAGTCATGGCTGTTGCGGGGCTCCGAGGAAGAACTGGGCCCGCTTTCTTGCAGCAACACAAACCGTCATCTTCCGTTTGGACATGTGCTCCCTCATGGGAAAGTCTAGCGCCGCGATCAGATTCTCAGCTTCTTCCCAGCGCTGCGTTGCTGCGCCTTTTCCCTCTGCCTACACTGTCAGTGCCGTCAACAGCATGCCTGCAGCACTGGACAAGGCTGCCTTTGCTTGCGGCCCAGGCACTGGGCAGAGCCTTCTTGGCGAAGCTCTGGGCCACAGCGACCTCGAGAGCTTCCTCCGGAATCCTCGGGCAAAGGCCGATTCTTTCCACCCAAAGCGTCCTCTGGGCTTAGAGCTGCTGCCAGGGAGCTCTAAGTCGTCGTCACTGTCCTCAAGCAGATCATCCACCTGCAGACAAAGGCCCCGGGAGTGAATCCGCTCGTGACTGCCGTGGTTCGCGAACCTAGCTGAGGATCCGAAGTGCCCGCAAGAACACAGCTCTTCAAAGATACACTGCCTCCCCCTGCATCTTCCAGTGCTAGGCCCAAAAAACAGAAACAGTACGGACCACCAAAAGCAAAACAGCTGTCCTCAAACCTTACTTGCAAAGGTCTATAGGCCAGTATGCAGCACACAGCTAAACTCAGGAGGCGATAAGCAGGAGCACTTTCGCGAACGCACACCGTGCGAGCATCCTTAAAGCCGTAAATGCAGCTTGGCTCATGCGGTCATTTCGATCGCACGGCATGCAACATGAAGCTCCAGTTGATCCCGGACGGGGCCCGGAGCCGGCCTCATCCATCTCCTCATCAGGCATCTGCGTTGACCTTAGCGCATCTTCGCAAACTAAGCTTCCAACACGTTGGAATAATCCGATGCTTGTCTTTCGTGAAGTCTATCAAAGCCAGTTCATCAGCGCAGCAGAATAGCCACCAAGGCTGTGAACATATTGAGAACATTCATGTGCATCCCCGGCTGCGCAGTGGCTGTGTCTTGACCTCGCTGGAATTCTCCTCTGCTAACACCTTTTGCACTTCAGGTTGCCTTTTCGTGTTTGCATGTGCGACCTGTGCTGGTGGAACTGTGAGCGTTGGACGATAACTGTCCGAAACTGTTGGCAACACAAGTTCTCAAACAGCTCATTCATCCCAACCCTGTGCCTGAGCGTGCTCGATGCGCACATACAAGCACTGCACTTGTCGTGATACACCCGCAGCACCACGGTTGGTCATCACCGACGCACTCTGTCAACCGAAAATGAACATGCTAAAAAGGCTCAGAAATGTACACAAGTACAGGCGATGCTGGCATTCACAGCCTGCTTCTATGCGGCAAAGCATGCCACCTGCTATCCCTGTGCTGTCGGACCGAAGAAACATGCCACTCTCAACTCTCAACACGCGGTTGCGCAAGCGATCGGTTCCCAATTGTGTCCGTGTCGTATTGATTCCTAGGCGAATGAAGCTGAGCCGTGGGCTCTGTCAGCGTAGACGTCGTAGATGGCGAACGCTTGTGGCCAGCTAAAGCCTGACGGGTACAAGCTGCGCCTTGTAGGTCGCAGGACGGCACCCATGTTGAAGGTGCACAAGCGAGATCTTGCTGCATAAGGGGGTGCCGACCGGAGCATGCCCTTCTTTACTGGTTAAGCTAGGGGTTATGTGGCTGTGCGCATTGCACGCATTGAACGTGCCTTTCGAGGCCAAGTTGGCACCGGCGCCATGGATCGCTCTAACTCCTGAAGAGAGCAGACAGCTGCGGCTTCAAGGCTCTGGCCCCACTTTCCTTTTTCGCCCCGATTCCCCTACCTAGCTCTTCAGAAATCCTAGTCTCATAAAAAGGTCTGGTCTGCTGCAACTGTGTCTGCGACACGGCCACGTCGGGCATTTGCTATCCGCGCAACTACAACTGAACAGGATCACAAAGCGTGCTGCTCCTCAAGGACCATCTTGTAATGTGCAAGAACTTTCTCGGATCCACCCCTCTTGATGCGTCCACGGAGAGCTGATGCCTGCATTGCGAGGCACGGGCAAGTCTTCAGAACGGCAGCATGTTGCAAGGCAGCCTCCACTTTTGCATGACTTGCTGTGTTAGTTAAGCAGCGAAGCAGACTTGTAACCCACGTGGCCAAAGCCAAACAGTTTGATCGGCTACGAAACATGCATGGTAGGGCCGAACTTGCGAGCATGAATCTTCGGCCAGAAACGTCTTGCCAAACACAAGTGCGACCATGATCAAGTTCGTGACGAGGCCAGCCAGGCTAGAACAATCACAATGCTGGGGATACTTTTTCACCGTGCATCCAAACTTAAACAAGCTGCTCATGTCTACCAGGTCTGAGGATCTAATGTAGAATTGCGGTGTAGAGTCCTTGCCTGTCGACGAATCTCCTTGTGCGGATCTTCAGGGGGTGGCAAGAGTGGAGCACTGCGAGGATCGTAGTCGTCACCTTGGTAAAGCGACAGTGCAGAAGCTTCTATGGCGCAGCCTGCCGTTCTTGCCAAACCTGACAACTCCGAAATCAGGCCCTGAGAACAACACTCTTGCACTGGCGTGTTAAGTCACTGTCTGGATTATAGTCACGCCAAACTCCTCGTCGATCTTGCTTTGGCAACTGGGTGACCAGAGATGGTCCCACGGCCTCTGGCTGACGAGTGCTCTCGTTGCTATCACTTCTTGTGGGTCATTCTCTGGAATTTCCACAGGTTCGGCACGAATTGCACAGAAACCCCTACGGCCTCGACCCTGTGGGTGTCCATGCACAGTGGCTTGCCACACTGGGCGTGCATGGACGCCCAAGGAAACCATTCCATGGCTCGGAGAATGAAGGAGGACCACCGTGCCAGGTGTGACCCCCAGATTTGAGCCTGGTAGAATTGCAAGACACGGCAGGGATGCCACCGCTTCTCTTTGGCTGAATAGTAAAACTGATCTCTCTGCAGTCTGGCAAGCCAAGGGCATAGCAAAAGTGCCAGAAACGATGCGGCGAGAAGAAAGCCGAGCCTGAATTTTGGATGCAGTGCACTTTAGAATCGAAGGGGACTTGCGAGACGGCATGCACAAAAACCTAGCTCTTCCTCAGAACACAACTGTTCAAGTGGGGTTCGGAGTGATTGAGGGCGCGCTGACATGGGAAACGACCTTGTGCGACTTTGAACACCGCAAGTTCAACCTACTAAGTTCCTTGGTCATCGTTCAACCACAACGCTCCGCCTCTAGCAGTTCTTTCCGACGTGGCATTATTGTTATTATCATTACTACTACTACTACTACTACTACTACCGAAAATTAATACTATTATCATTCCTCTCACTATTTCTAATACTGTTACTTACTTCGGATATTACGATATTACTACTATGACTGTGAATGTTACTATTCCCACTCTTACAATCATTATTACCATTTGTACTTGTGTCACTATTACTACTACAAGTCTTACTACTATTGTTAATTCCACTGATTGCATTTATTCAGATTATGACTATCATTACCATTATACGACAAGCTTCTTGAGTCGGGCTCCTCTGGTAAAGTCCGTTGGTGAGATGCTGCCGAGGCAGCAGCTGAAGGCTCACGCAAAGACCCAGCTTACCATCATGGTCATAACAAACATCATACTGCTACTAATCGTAGACAGAACAATACAATAATAGTACCCATAATCATCATAATAATAATCAAAAAAATGCTAATAAAAACAACATTTATAGCAACAGTATGTAAGGATTTCCGTACTTGCAATAGAATGCCACCACCAAAATCCTAAACTCGGCGGCCTCGCTCACCTTGACTTCTATATCTATCGTTTTTGCGCGACACTTCATCTGACCAGTATCAAAATTCCAGGACATTCAGTCAGAAGCCCTCAACCATTGAAAAACAAACGTGCGATTGAACGTGGCACTCTCAACCCCCGATGCTATCATATTAGCATATTTGGAAAACCTGCCTTGAGTCCTGCCTACTCCTTACGGGCCGAGCAGTGCCTAGATTTTAGTCCAGTCAAGCGGCTCTCGCACGCCTGCCATCACTGCCCAGCCGCCCAGCCTAGCAGGGCTTGCGAGTGCCGGAAGCTGTTCCGAGGCAACTTGCTCCAGGGTGCTGTGCCACTTTGGCCAAGTACATTTGCGGCATCAACCGGAGCAAGGAGCAAGACAGACTTCCGCCATCTGCACACTGAGATCAGGACTGGAGAGTACTGGAGAACCAGAGGGAGCTAAGGGCAACATCCCCACCTGCTCATAATGATTCTTTCGAAGCTGAGCGGCGGCGAAGAATTCAAGCCGAACAAAACTTGTGAAGCTCACTGGGATGGATCTCATGTCTGCCCAACAGGCCCTGGTTGCGCCATGACTTTTTACTCGCTTGAGCTCGGGGGCTCCAAGGTAGCAGGCCGGGAGCCATTGCCAAGAAGCCACTTCCTAAGCTCAGGCTTTGCTTTTGCGGCATGCACCATGATCTAGATTCTTGTGGAGGTCCAGGGGCACCTCTCTGCCACTGCCAGTGAAATCAGAATGGGAATGGCGACGATTGTTGCGAGAGTGTTCGTCCCCCACCGCACCTTCGTGACTTCTGGGAGCAACCTCGCAACCACAGCCAACCATTTCGTGCCAGGCGTGGTCGTTGCTCCAGGAGGCAAAAAGTCCACACTTTGCTCTGAATCGTCACCTTCACAATTACACATACGATTGTTGTTTACGTGGAAGATTTGTTGACAGTTGAGCTTCCCTAGCACACGGACCCGTGGGTCAAAACATGATAACTCTCCATACCCAACGATGTCAAGAATTGCAAGATGCACTTCTCAAGGATCGCAGAGATGACATCGAAGCCTCCGCTCAACCCTGCCCCTACCAACTACCGCGACAGCAACCTGAGCGTACATTACCGCGCTGTTTCGAATCCTGGAGAAGTTTCTGGCTCTGGGAACTCTGGGAACTCTGGGCGCAGGGCAGCCGTCGCACGGCTTCTTCGACGCTGCGAGCTCCGAGGGCCCAGTGGCCCAGCATGCCCAGCAGTCCCGCCAAAGACAGGGCGAAGAGGCCTGGAGCGAAAGGGAACTAGATGAGCCCCTTCCAGGGCTCCTTCAACGTGCGTTCATGTCTGTTCATATTTTCGGAAAGGAGTACGGGTGTCATGTCAAGGGAGTCAAGGGTGAATCGAAGCCGCAGCATTAGGACGCCACTGCACAGACTCTAAAGCCTGCAGTGCATGAAAAACCAGCTAGACTAGAATCTAAAGAACCTCTCCACCTGGTACAGCAAAGAGGTACACGATCTCGCCCTTCGACAGGAAATCTGTTGCACGCGGTGCTCTTGTCGGTGTAGGCACGCCCGTCACAGGAGGCTTGCCAGCTTGTGGCACCGGTGAAGACACCTGGCGCAGAAGAGCGCGGGAAACCAATGCACTCCAACCCTGTGCTGGTGAAACTGGTGAAACTCGCTCGAAGGTCGACTTGGGAGGTACCTCCGGTGCCAGCACTCGCGTGAGCCGGCGCGCCGAGCGGCGGTAGGAGACCGCACCCAAGACCTTGCGCAAAAACCACTGGGTTGAAGACATGCCCTTTCAAACCCGCAAAGCCTGGAGCTGCAAAGCTTGCAGCTCGGGTGCAGTTCCAGCCATGACCGACAGCAACACCGCTGCCGGAGCTGCCACCGCGCCCAGTGGGTTTGCCACGGTGTTTCCAGTCTGTCAGAGGAATAGTATGATCATGATACACTGATACACTCTCCTACATCCTCCCACTGTCTCGTGTAGATCTCTTCTCCACATGTCAGGCGAAGTCAACAGATGGTAGAAAGGTGGCTCTTGGACGCTTGCGGCCTGCGGTTGAATTGCGGCCCTGAGGGCATCGTCCACCACTGTGAGCAAGTTCGTTATCCTCCGCAGCGAGGAACGGTTGTCTGTCCTGCCCATGCTACCTGCATGTTCTATCGGCGATATATGATATATCTGCGTCCTGCAACGAACCTGACAGCATGCTGCATGCAAACCCTTCAAGCATCCCACAACAACAAGGCGAAGAACACCACAAGTCGTCACAGCGGTCTGAAGAGGTCAGTCCTTTCACTTGCCGCCACTGGCTCGGAGGGAAGCCGTTCACCCGGCATGACCGCTAAACTTGTAACATGCTGAAGGAATTTGTGGCGGGTTGCGGTGCATTGTTGCCTTGCGTGCTGGCGAGAACAGCTGGGTAGTTCATGGCCAGTGGTCGCTGAATGAAGTTGGGAGCCTGGCATTGCGGCATCACTTGCCTTGCTGCGGTCAGGCGACCAGCCGCCTTCCTAAGCACCATCGGGTCTGCAGCCTGTGAAGTTTGAGCAACTGCGCAGCCTGCAACAGTTGCCACGGCATCCGAAAAGGCAAGGCGATCGCGCATTTTTTGCCTCTAGAAGACTTGTAATACTGTACACCTAGGCAAGAGGAAGTCTGCAAATCACTGTGATGGGAAAGCCATAGACATGTAATGGTTGTGTCTAACAGTGGGACTTCCCTTTTCCAGAAACATGTTTGTCCAAAACGTCCGAACCCAGGGGCTGAGGAACCTTCTCTCACATCTCCGGCTCTGACCGGTGCAATGCCTGGATGTGGATACCGATGTGCATGTTGTGGTTTTGAAAGCTTGCCAGTCTGTGAAGCTAGCTGCAGTCTATCTGACTGCGGGCGTGTCTTGCACGCTTGTACTTTGCAAATTCGTCTGGCCGAGCCTGAGAATCAAAAGGAGAAGGCACCTGACAGCCGCATGTCTATAAGCACAGCAGACCTGGTCTGTCTGGCTGATGACTCGTGGTATGACCGTCCTTGCTCGAGCAGGGCAAAAGTCAAGAGTATATCGCTTCAAACCACAAGCGCCTTCGGCACGCTTGCTGGGCGACCTCCTTACCAACAAAAGTCGAGCTCAGCACACAGATACAGGTGTCAGCGTTGCCGTGCTAACCTTTACAGCTCCGAGAAGGACTCGGCTGAGGATGCATGATATCATCATATCTGCACCGGGAAATGTCGGGCCTCCTCTCCTACAGAGACTCGCCGGTGCGTGTCTCTGTTTCGGCCTCTATGGAAACAACAGCAACACTCCTCATACCACCAGCAGTATTCTGCTGTGTCAGCTGTCTACCTGTCAGCAGTGAGCATTGAATTGTGACGTGGCTTGATGCATGCTCCTGCTAGGGAGGGTCCTCCAACTATGCAACAAACTTAGCTTGTCTGAGGAGTGCATATGCTGCACAAAGTTGTGCAGACCATCGCCGGATCAAAACGAGAAGCTCGCTGCGAGAAGCTCGCAACTGGTGGACCTTCTCCAGATCCCCAGCAGATTCAACGAGGGTCTCTCTTCCAGTGAGGTGTCCAAATGAGCTGTAGTTGGAACCACGTGAAAAGCTTATTTTTTTCTATAGCCTGTAAGTATTTACAGGTTTTGCATACTGTGGATTGAAATGGTGTAGGGCAACAGTCTTGTGAGAAACATCGTACACGCTGATGCTGAGGTTCAAAAATGCCGCTGCGCTTTTCAGTAACGAGTGTCAGTGCAAGTCTTAAGTCCAGCCTTTGGGCATGCATCCTTGTTTGTGCCGATCTTGTGATTCTTGGTGGAGTCGCTTCTCCTCAAACGTGTCCTGCTGACTTAGCATCCCGAGACATTTGTGGGGTGTTCCACACGCGGGGGGCATGTAGCTGTATCTTTGATTGCCGCTACCGGCAGAAAACCGCTGTCACATCTATCGACACAAGTTCGGGCAATTGGATTCTTCGCCTGAATAGAGTGCAGAAGGACATTTCGGAGACGGCTCTTCAGGACACGTCCATCCCTTGTGCAGCATTACTGAGTGATGTCTACCCTGTGAGACTTTCAATAAGCGAACACAGGTCCGGACGCGGCAGGCAGGAGGACTCTCAAGAAAAGCTATTTAACGAGCTTCATCAGCACCCTGGCTTGCAAAACACTGAGAAATACAAAAAAACGAAGAATGCCAAGATGAGAAATTGTCTGCTGCGCCGTCGCACGGCCACATGCTCGGTGCTAGGCCAAGGACTTCACAATGGCCTGAGCCTTCATTCATCCTACATGCAATCACGGGCACATTAAGGCCCTGTACTTGCATGCAGGGCTTGTGCAAGACTTCTGCACTTGCCCTTCTGCGGCAGGAGTCTTGCATAGTCTTGCTGCAGCAGAGCAGGCTTCACCAGCCTTTCACATCAACATTAATCGCCATTTTACACCAAGCTGTCCACGTCTGCTGCAGACAGTCAGGGCATGATGACGGCGATGCAGAGTCTACTGAATTTAAAGACAGCTGTAAAACTCCACATACTAGCAGTTTTCGGATCTAGCAGGCGTTTACACAAGACCAATGCATGTTCGGCAACTGTGAATTCATTCTTCTAGCTGCTGCTACAAGGAAGCCACGGCTGTGAGTGTGTGCTGTGTGCGTTCGATGATGCGCACGGACCGTCAAACCGATTTGGTAGCTGCTCGGCGGTCGGATGCGTGGATTTCAGGAAATTGTGGAATCATCAGGGAATCACTGGCAACTTGTCGGCAACCAAGGAAAACTATCTCGGGAGCCACTGAGGCTTCTTCTGCAACGGCTCGCATCATGCTGACTTCAAGAGAAAGTAGATGATCGAGATGAATTAAGACCTTCAGCACGGCGGCTGCTCAAGCGGCGGCTTGACAACAGAAGACCATCTCGGCATAACTCGGTGTTCCCATCTTGGGGGGATGAGGGGCTTTGCTCAGGCACAACTCGAACCGTGTTTGGATGGGTCACCCAAAAACGTGTGCTTGGTTGCCAAGCATCCCCTTGAGTTGCCACTGCGTGATGAAGGCACAGCGATGCAAAGCACTTCAGCTATTGCAAGTCCTGCCGGCCGGTCCCAACTGCCAAGGTGAAGCCCGAGTTCCAGAGCATCAGCCCTTCTCATAAGTCTTTCGACTTCGACAGAGGTAACATGAAGAACAGAAGACCTGATCACGAACGACCAGTAGTACGACCTCGGGCTTCCTCATCGCAGCGGTCGGTGGCCGAGCTCAACTTTCATGTCGTCCACGTCAAAACTGGCTATAAGCTAGCAGCCTTTCACAGATGCACAGGCTTCAAACACTGTGTAGCTCCGCCTACGAGACATTCCTCAACCGTAGAGTTTGACCCAAACAAGGCTGCAGCCAAAACGTCACCCATCACGGGTCACAGATGGAGAGAAGATGTGGAAGATGCCGCGCAGGGCGACCCAGGCCCAACCGCCTCAGACTGCCACGGCACAAGTAGCTCAACTGACAGAATCGTGAAAAACGTTCGCACTGCCAGACGGAACTTCGATTCATGATCATGTCTAACGGCTGGCACCATTTCACGTAGGCGTTCAAAGGTTCGGACTAGCTACTCGAGCATGGACTTTGATGCTAGCTAGCTCTTCTGCTCTGAAACCTGGTAACCTCGTTCAGGGTGTGTCTGTCACGGTATGTCGAATGGTGATACGAAGATGCACACATCAGCAGTGAGTGCAATAACAATCACAATCGTCGTTCAACTCCACCCACACAGGGAACTACGATGCAGGAAGGAATGCTCACGAGCAAGCACGGAGGGTCTTATCCTCATGAGAAAATTTGGTTTGGTTGCACACGAGACTTGAAGACTGACAAATGGCTTCAAAGCGCATATCGCATTGCCTTACAGACAATAAGACTAAGCATGGAAGGAAGTAACAAATGCCATCTCGCAAGCGAGACGGCTATTTCTTTGGGTGCACAATCCGGGAGCCAAGCCTCAGTAAAGACTGAGGCGGCCCAACAAAGTGGACGACGCCTCCTGGCGGAAGCTTGGCACTCTGCTTAAAGACTCGCTACCGACACTACTAGCTGCGCCAGCCTAGCTTCCAAACAAACCCAGACAACCAGTGCAATCACATATCATGCAAGTCCACGAGCCCCAAGTGACTGAAATCTGCTACAAACTCTGCAAAGATGCCAGATGCAGAAGAGCCCCATTGGTCTGCTGACTGTTTGTTGCGTGCCAGCCTTCTGACGAACAGGCATTGCAGTTCTCGTTCTCAAGATGCACGCCTCGCACTGCACTCTGGACCGATGTAAAGATGCACGAACTCGTTACTGGGTCAGCAGTGACAGACTGCGCCACTGTGATTTTGAAGTCACTGTGAACAGCGGCCTTCCGCTCTGGAATGGGAATGGCTCCCGGAGGCAGCTGGATGCGAGGACCTCGGGGGACCTGGCGGGAACCGTGTCGATCTAGTTGTGGCAAACGATGTGCAGGCGAGACGGCCTCCTAGCCCTTTTGAAACGAAGTGTTTCTAAGGGCCTAGAGAAGGAACACCGACAAGGCATGTTCTGCGCCTCAACAACGGTCTTGGAGCGGCGGACTCGCGCGACCCAACAGCTTGGAACCTGCACACTGCGCTCTGTGTTTCCAGCCGCTTTCCTGTCTGAAGTAGTCTTCGCTTCATGCGGATATTGCTAGGCCGCTAGGCTGGCCTCTGGGAAGGGCGCCTGTGGCGCCTCCCTCACATGCGCCGCAGCACCTGCCGAAGAACTGCATTATGGGCATGCAGGTATATTTCACAACTTCCTCAGCTCGCTACAGTGTGAGAGCCTGCTACTTTCGGCCAATCCTCTAAGCTTTTCTGGCATCTTCCACAAACAGTAGTCTCTATGGCACTCAACCTTCTTGAAACTTTGAATTTGAAGCTTTGGTGCCACTGCCACATGCACACCAACAAAACAACAACATGTTTTGCCCCTTCCACCCCCCTGGCAACTCATAGCTTAGTTTGTAGCCATGCCGAAGTGAATGGCTGCATGCTCGTGGGCCTTAGGGCTTCCAACCGCTTGCCTTGAAGCCTCAGATACTTCTACGAAGGAACACGGCTCGGTGCAGGCTGTGTCATGACCACTCGCGGCCTAGGCTTGCCAGTGGCGATGACTGCGGCGACACGGCAAAGAAGCCGCCTCGGGCGGCCTGGGCACGCAGAAGCCGCAACGGATATTGCAACTTGAGGACCTGGGAGCCAATGCTCAATGTGAGAAGGAAACACCACGAAAGCGCATCTGTTTTTTCCCTCGAAACCTGCATAAAGCTATGTGCCTGATCAAGTTGACAGCACCCAACATGTCGAAAGCACAAGCCAGCATTTCAATGTAAGCCCCTGGCCCCCTGGTCCTTTGGCACTTCCAAGTGGTCTATACACCTCGTTCTGATGCGCATCATCCCCATTCAGTCGCACAGAGCTCAACCCAAATACGAACCAAGGCGTCGCAAGTTCCTAAACCTCTTGACACAGCAGCCAGAGCAGTGCACCCCAAATGCAGCCGGAGCACGCCCCAGTTGCGCCGACAACCGAAGAGAGACTCAGCGGCAGAGAGTCAGTTGTACTGTACTTCCAGTTCTGTTTTTCACTATGACTGCGCAAACAAGAATGGTGAATAGTGAATCCATCCTGATACACGGCAGAGTGGAATGCTGGACTACACATAAAGCAACTGCAAACAGCAAGACGCCGCCAGACGTGCCGATTCAATTTAAGTCTCTTGCAACTCCACGGTCTGGAGCACAAACGTGACCTTTGATTCTTGGGCGGTCACCAAATCCAACACGAGCCGATCACTAGGCACGACAAACGAGTCAAATGCCACTGCCAAGCATGAAACGTCGCAAGCTTATCGTGAGGCTGTGGCTGAAGCTCCATCCATGTTTGCTCGCAAAGAAGTGTACAAGGCGAACTAAAGGTGCTTCGGACCTCTTGGCGGCAGTTACTTACCGTGATGATGCGCGAGATTGTGTGAGCAGCACAAGTCTTCGTGAGCGAAGTTGCGACCGATCTCCTTCTAAATGGCAGGGGAATGCAGAAAAAGTAAAACTACATTTGCCGTTCCGGGAGCACATTTTCACGTGCAAACCGGGGAGCAACTTGAGAATACATGCCGGAAGAAAAAGCTGTTGAGCTGGTTTGCATTTGAAGCAAAAGCAACAGCGAGTACCTTTGCTTTGCTGCATCGGAAACCAAAAACGTGTGGTTTGGGAGGACGCTGAACATCGACGTGTGGATGTAAGAACATGCTTGCTTTGCAACATGAAAAGCTGAGATCTTTTGGGGTCAACCGTTTTCACCCGGCAAAGCAACTAGGCCGCACGCTTCCAGCATGTCGAGCCTTTCTGGTATGACAATTAGGAGCACAGCACATTGAAAACGACGTTGTCGGAATAAGATACTGCACGCACTGCAGTCTCAGCTATTCATAAGCAAGAACCGTGCTATCGGCACAACACTGTCTCGTCCAGCTCATATTCTGGGCGCGGTTTGGCATCAACTCAATGCCTGAGTAATCTGTGTGCACAGCAACACCATGCAAGAAGTGCAAGAAGTTGGTCCTGAGAGGCAAGGCAACCTCGAATTCAAGACCTTTTTCACTTGTCAACGATAAGTGCGGCATGTGGGCCACAAGCCGCAGGTGTTCCAAGACGTGGCAACACCTACCACTGCTCTCTCTGCATGCTTCAGGCACTGGCGTAGCAGTGGCAGTGTGCTATTGCTCTTTACAGCTCATGGGCGTGCTACAAACGCTTTGTCAGCATGTCAAAACACAGCAGCAACGCTGAACCCTCTTTTTCTTGCTGCTTGTGCTCACCGCTTTGCTCCGTGTGCTGCACAACAAACAAACTCAAACGTTCGTGAGTTTCTCGGGGACGCAATCACTTCGAACTTGGTTTTGAACTGGGGGTGCGAAGCACTCTCCTTTTCGTCATCGGAAAGCAGAAGGCAACAATCACGTCGACCCGGCGGGACGCGGGTGAGTCTGTCACGTTCAAAAATCACAGACGACCAAAATCAAACACAACTTGATAAAGGTCAGAGTCTAATGCTGAAGGTATGGCTGAAGGTTGAGAGCTGAGGTTTCGCGTACATTTTTTTCATTTATATATATATATATTCCATAGCTCCAAGCAAAGTAAACATCATGGTAGACTCAAAATAAAAGTGTCCTTCATTTTTCATTCATGCGAACCATATCGAGTACATGTTTTTTCATACTTATTCCACAATTCCAAGCAAACTAAAAACCATACTAACATCATATCTAAAGTTTGTGTTATAAATTTTTCATACATGCGAACCATATCCGAAGCATACATAGACCACACCAACACCGATTTTTCATAATGGACAATTCTAGTTGCACTACTACTTTTGCGATTTCATGTCAACATTGAAGACAAAAACAAAATCCCATTCGAAACACGAAGCAAAAACACGCTAAGCCGCTAAGCAAAACACCAAACAACATTCCGAGTTTTTGAAACGGAAGTCGAATTGTGGTTCGTTCTTGGAACCGTTGGACTCTCTGGTGCTACAGGTCTTGTTTCGTAATGCTCGAGAATCACGTTTAGGAGCCGTTAGGAATCTCAAGGCTCGCAGTTGAAAAATCGTGCAAAATGAGCATGCACGCAGAGGCAAATGCTTTGGCCGTGCTGCAAGCGACATGATGCAAAAGGTTTTGAACTACTAAATGCAAGCACTACCATCGCATTAACAGGGTCGTAGGTGGGACAAAATTTCCTGCTTGCAGCGAGCCTGCCTGCAATCGAAGCAAACGCAGCAAGCACAGCCAACATTAACCAGACGCAGCGCCAACCCAGACGCACCTACTGTAAGATTGTAACCAAATGTGTACGATGCAACAAACACTTTTTGTGTTTAGATGACTTTGAAGTGCGTGAACATGAGGGACTTGGTAGCATTCTTCCCAGTTGACAGTGAGGTTGGCCCATCGGAGCCCCTCCATTTCTTGAGTGCGGGAAGGGAGAGGAAAACAGACGACAGGACCGGAACACCAGAAATCGAGCAAAAGACAGACAAGAAGACCGCATGCAACACTTTGCCAAGGGACTTCTCAAAGCTTTGATTATGAATTGCTCGACACTTCTCACTGGCCGGGCATCTACCCTTCAGAAAGAAGACTGCAAGTCTTCCGTTCTACACCATCCTCTGAACTGTGGCACTGTTGTATCTTCTTGTTTTAACTTTTCTGAGTGGCTCCCGCCGAATTTGCATCCGATGTTCGGTCAGATTGCAAGCCTTTACATTTTAAAAAAAAAAATTGCACACCGACAGACTGTTCTAAGAAGGTAGATAAAGGCAAAACCACCAATCCTGGCGCAAATTTGCTTAGATGAAGTTTGCAGGCAATCTGGGAAGAGCGTAACTCCAAATTGTGACCTTGAACTCATACTCTTCAAGAAATTTCTTTTCTTTTCCACAACGCGCGCAAAGTCAAATCCAATCCAAAGGTTGTATCATCTCAGTGCAGTGTTGCAGAACGTAAGCACTAACTTACTGCCGGAATCTGGTATCACAACCTCTGTGCACTCTTGGGAAAGTCCAACCGCGTGTCGCGAACGGAATGCGGGGCGAGTAAAGCGTTTTAGACTCTTCGGCAGTCGTGCGGATGCAATGTGGGGTGGAAGTGGAGGGATGCAGCAGGTAAAAACGAGCAAGTTGCACCGGGCGGGACGAGATGGATCCAACGCGGCGGTTTGGAGGAAATGGAATTCTCAAACTGTCGTCATTTTTGACTGTTGGTCTCACCAACACTCGCGCATCACCATCGAAATCCACATTACCATCGTCTCTCTGTGAAAAACAGAGCGCGCAGCAC